CAGAAACCCCTGCTGCCATCTATCCCTGGGCCCAAGCCTACCTTTCCTCCCCTGGAGCAGCGGCTCTGTAGCTAAGGGATTGTTTCCTTTTTGGAAAAAAAATTTTTTTAATCACCAAGCCCTGGGGTTGGAGTAGGGGTAGCAACACTCTAATTAATTATTTATATCTTAGTGTGAAATATGTTCATCCGACCCTTACCTGGTAGCAGGTGTTTCAGGGGAAAAGAGAGATCCTAAGAATAATAAGAGCCCGCAGGAGGCATGGAAGGCCAGGGAAGAGAAAGGGAGAAGAAAGGAAGGAGTGGCAATGGGGAGGGAAGGACAAGGGAAGGGAAGCAAGGAAAAGAGAGGGGAGCGGAGAGGGGTGGGCAGTAGGCCACCACCCTTCTGCAGTCTAACTCAGTCCTCATTGCCCTAGTGCAGGCTTCAAATGCATAAAGAATTTGCAAGTGCATTCTTGTTCAATTCACAGGATATTCTGGGGCTCCCATGGACTCCCACCATTGCTCGGTGTATTACTCTGAGTTCTCCAGAAAAACAAAACCAGAACCAGTAGAAAAAATATACATCATACATATATGAGTTACTACATATGCCATATATATGACTTACTGTAAGGAATTGGCTCCTGGGATTATGGAGGCTGACAAGTCCCAGAGCTGCCGTTAACAGACTGAGGATCCAGGAGAGAAGATGATGTAAGTTCCAGGCCAAATCTGAATGCAGAGCAAGACCAACATCTCAGCCCAAAGGCAGCCAGGCAGAGAGAGAAAATCCATCTGTACCAGCCCCTCAGTCTCTTCAGGCCTTCAACAGACTGGATAAAGTTCACTCGCACCAGGAGTGGGAGGGCTCTGTTTTCCTCAATCCACTCATCCACAGGTGATCTTAACCAGAAACACCCTCACAAACACACAGGTAAATCACCTTAACCAAGTATCTGGGTACCCCGTGGCATAGTCAAATGCGCACGTGCAATTACCCTCCCATTTGTCAGTAGCAGCACCTGTCGGCCACGCTGCCTTCTGGGTGTTTGTGGCAGGCTGCTCTCCCACTAGGCAGTAGAGGCTGACGGCACAAACAGCCTTTTCTAGCACAAGATCCTGCTGTCTAGCACAAGACCTAGCACAGGAAAGAGTAAGGGCTTAGGGTGTTTTAAAAGTGCAAAAACAGACAAATGAACAAATTCACACACCTGGATCCAATGTAAAGAAAACAGGCCAGGCACCGTGGCTCATACCTGTAATCCCAGAACTTTGGGAGGCCAAGGCTAGTGGATCACTTGAGGTCAGGAGCTCAAGACCAGCCTGGCTAGCATGGCAAAACCCCAAAAATACAAAAATAAGCCAGGCATGGTGGTGCACGCTTGTAATCTCACTTAGCAGGCTGAGGGAGGAGGATCACTTGAACCTGGGAGGCGGAGGTTGCAGTGAGCCGAGATTGTACCATGCCATACAGTCATTGTCTCATTATACACCTAGGTCCTTTATAGAGGACAGTGAGCTCCTTGAGTCAGGGGCCAGGGTGGGCCACTTCATCCCCAGTGCTAAGCATCGTGTTTGACACACAATAAATATTTGGTGACCCAGGGATGAATAGATCAGTCAATGAGTGAGAGAATGAAGCCAGCTGGCCATCTCCCCAGAGATGGAGCAGGCTCAGATTCTCATTTGGAGCTGAGAATCACTTTTACCTGTGGTCAGGATCAGAGACAGGCTTTTACAAATTGGTATCCTGATATTCTCTTCCAACAGATTTGAGAAACCTTTGTAAAATTCCAACCTTGCCTGCTGTCACCACAGTTATCCAGAAACTGTCAAAACCAATAGGACCCCTTGGGAGAAAGCCAGGAAGGCTGTACAATTACTGCTGTCTGTCAGGAGACTATGACAGCACCATCGCCCTTCCAGGGGAGGATGAAAGTGGAGGAAAAAAAGTTCTGATTAGGTGGACTCTGCCACACCTAGCACGCCTGCTGGGCTGACAGGAGAGCTGCCCTAATGCTGGGAGATGGGTTTCCAGAACAATTTAGAGGAGTGAAGAGATCCGGCTCAACGTCATTGTACTTACCTGCTAAAAAGTCTCTGCTGCTTAGAAAATGCAAGAGAGAGAAATCTACCTTTTGAGTTTCTGTACCTCAGTTTTGCTTATAAAAACATTAACGATGACCCCATGGAGAGTCACAGGCAAGGGAAGGGAAGCTGTTAAGTAGGTGCAGAGCTTTCGCAGAAGTTTGGGGAGCACAGCCACCCCCAACTCCTCAGGTGGGAGGGAAAAGCAAACCTGGTGAGCCAAGTCTTCTGCCAACTCACAGAGACCGTAGCAGGGAGCAAGGAAGGTGTGGGACCTAGAACCAGAGCTGCTCTCAAATCCTGGCTCTGTCATTGACTTGCTTGGGCCATTACGGTGGTAGCACCACAGGAAAGCCTGTAGGGATGTTAGACAGCTGTGACTTCCATGAGTTCCCAAGCTGCCCAAGTGATGATAATAATCATCATCGTGATGGACAGTTCCCACACTTATGTCATATGAGAATGTTTTGGTATTTTTTTTATCACAATCTAAGTTAACATGGTGTGCTTTTTATGCAAACACAGCTTCAATGCAATTCCCTGAGCAGTGCCCCCACCACCCTGTCACCACCATAAACCCCTCCTCTATGTGAATTCTGAGGCCAACACTGGCAAATCTCCATTCTTCTCTAAACCTTAGTTTCCTTCTCTGTTACAACAATAAAGGCTAATATAGCTATTGAGTGCTTTCTGTTTGCCGGGTGCTGAGTCAGATGTTTTCATGTGAATTATCCCATTTAATCCTTACAGCAACAGTATGAGGTAGGTCCTTACCATTCTGTGCCTCAGCTTCTCAACAAAACTTTATTGAGGATATACTATATGCCAGCACCCAACCAAGCTCTGGTGTTAAAGAGAAGATTATAGATACCAACTTTCTCGCCATCCTGAATGGGTTTATGTACTGTCCCACGCTGTTCTCATAATCACAGCCTCTGTCTCCTAGCCTTCACCTCAAAGATTGGGTGGGTCCTGGAGAACACAGCCAGGATGCAACAGCTAGGAGCTACTTGAGGATAGAAGCAGAGACGCAGTAACAACACCAGCAGGGATAGAATGAAAATGGATTTCCCCCGATGGAATTGTCCTCAACTACAAACCAACCTTGCCCCTTAGGCCTCTACTCCCCTCCTTCCCATCTGCTGAAGGATGAGTGGGGCAGCCCTTACTCTGAGGTGGCACAGTCCAGGCTACTGCAAGCCCCTGCACATGCTGCTGGCTGGAAAGTGGATACAGAGATCAGATCAGAAAGCTTTCCTGGCCAGAGCCTGGACACAGTGCTTGTACTACCCACTGCCATTTGGAATGCAGTGGTTGTTGTCCCCCAAAACCCCCTTGCCCTTGGGCAGATTGGAACTGGGTAGTGAGTGGCCTGGGGACCTGGGAAGGGGAAAGACTGAAGGGCAGGGAAACCAGCCCTGAGCCTGGGGGTTGGGAGAGGAGTGACAAGGAGTAGGAATGGGAAACGCTACCTGCTAGGGAATTGGGTCTGAAAGCTTTTTATCAGAAAACCAGTGTGAATGACAATGACGACAGTGACCACGAGCAGGACGTCGGGCCATGCGTGGTAGCAGGAGAACGTGATCATCATGATCCATCCTTCAGGGAGCCAGCAATGAGGAAAGATAAATGAAACCCCTCACTGGTTGTTTAAAGAAAATATGGATTTCATTCTTGTTGGAGAAGCTGCTTATTTGTGGTTTACTTCCTATTTGCAAAACTTAGGATGCATTTTAAACAAACACATCAGGCTTTTGCAAAACAAAAAATTTTGAACTTATTTGAGACTTGCAGAAGAGTTGCAAAAACAGTACAAAGAGTTCTCCACATCCATCATCCCGTTCCTCTAATGATAACGTCTTACATGACCATAGAATAATGATCAAGAATAAGCTAACAGTGATACAGTATTATTCACTAAGCCACAGGCCTTATTTGAATTCCACTACTTTTTCTGCTAACGTCCTTTTTCTGTTCCAGAATCCTAACCAGGACCCCACGTTACATTTAGTTGTCATGTCTTTTCATCCACTCCAGTCTGTAACAATTCCTCAGTCTTTCATGAACTTGACACTTTTGAAGAGTACTGGTCAATTCTTATGCAGAATGTCTCTTCATTTTGTAGAATGTTTTCTTATGATTGGAATCATGATATGCATTTTTGGCAAGAATACCACAAAACTGATACCATGTTCTCATCACAACAAAGGGTTGGTAATGCTGATGTGCCACTGCTCAAGACGTTTACATGGATCACTTGGTTAAGTTGGTGTCTGCTGAGTTCTCCACTGTAAACCTATTTTTCCATCTGTAGTTGGTAAGTAGTTTAGGTGCAATATTTAGATTTTTAAAAATTCACTGTTTTCTACTGATCATCCCTCTCAACTTCTGCAAGCCAACTGTCATGTTCTGGTTGGCTTGAGGACAGCTCCCTGACCCCAGGCTGCCTTGAGGTCAATGGTTTTAACAGTGCCCAATAAAAATTCAATGGATACAGGTGGAAATTTCCATATGGCATATAACCATCAAATGCAATGTGCAAGCCTTGTCTGGATCTTGATTCAAACAAACCAATCATAAAAAGACATTAATAGGAAATTTTAATATAGATTGGATATTGAATGATCCTAAGAAATTGTCATTTTTGTTAGTGTGATCATGGCACTATGATTATGTTGAAAACATCTTTTTCTCATAGAAATACATAGTGAAGTGTTGATAGTAAAAGTGATATGATAACAGCGATTTGTTGATATGAGAGCGGTGAACGTCGATCATGACGGAGGCAGATAATTGGCATGTGGCATTCCATGACATGTTTCTAATTCCGTGTATTTTTTTTAATTCCCAAAGTAAAAAGTAAAGGTTCCGATATGTTAAAAAGTGATTTATCTCAGTTCATCTGCCTCAGAAAATGCCACACTCATATATTAGTATAATTTTATTCTACATTCTATGAAAACTGGATGCTTCCCATACTACATCAAAAGAAAGAAAATGATCCCACTCAGGATCTGGATGGCTGCTTGCTTTGGGTTCCCAACCCAGATGACACTCCCCTCTCAGTGGCTTTTTCTCAGGGCACTTCCCTCTTGAGCAACTTTCTTCTCAGGTCAACTATTCACTGAAATGGAAATGTAATGAATCACTGGCAAGTATTCACATATTTTTTTCCTAGTATTTCAAACTGTAACATCATACTCTATATGTCTGTACCTTTCTCTCTACCTCTTTCATCCTTGTCTTCAGTAAGTATTCACCTTTCTTGGTGCTAACTCCTTTCTTTTTCACTTTTTTCTTTTTTTATATAGAGAGAAGGTCTTGCTCTGTCACCCAGGCTGGAGTGCAGTGGTACAATCACAGCTCCCTGCAGTGTCAATCTCCTGGGCTCAAGTGATCTCCCCACCTCAGCCTCCTGAGTAGCTGAGACCACAGGCATGTGACACCACACCCAGCAAGTTGTGTTTCTGTATAGACAGTATCCTCCTACATTGCCCAGGCTGGTCTCCAACTCCTGGCCTCAAGGAATCCTCTCGCCTCAGCTTCCCAAATTGCTGGGATTGCAGGCATGAGCCACTGTGAACATCCACTAACTCCTTTAATTAATATGAATATCTGCCCTGTTCCTTCTAGAGATTTCAGAGGCCGTTTGACCCCAGAGTTGCATTGGGTAGGAAAGTTAGCCTCTTTGAGGCTCAAATTCTTTATTTATAAAGTGCGGCTACCATAGAGCTACCACACCGGGCATGAGAGAACTGCAAAGGATAACATGCGTGCTCCTATTCTCTGCATGTGTGGTACATTGTGGGTGCTCAAGAAACAGAACTTTTCTTCCACTGTGGTCATGCCTGCCCCAGAAAACCCCAGGAGAGGCCCCAGTGCTGGCACAGCAAGACACTTAGGACCCAAAACCTGGACATAAGACCTGAACAACGTGACTTTGCTGAGTGGCAGAATTGTTGCCGCACTTGGTAGCATAAGTTGTTTTGGAATTTGATGTAGTTAGAGATATAAAAGGCAATCATCTGACAATTCTATGCTCATTTCTGACCTAGCAGATATCTCTGAGACCACTGTAGATGATTGTGCAGTAGAGACACTCGTGATACACAGCTGCACGTGGTCCCAGACATCTGCCCCCACAGATGTAACCCACTTCCTGCCTTCCTCTCTCTATCCACCTCTATTCCTTCCCATTCTCCTTCCTCTTTTCATCCTCTCATGTAAATGGAAATCATGGTAACACTCTGAGGTTGTGATGTAGGTCAAAGTAGATGTGTCTAAAAGTGCTTTAACTCTAAAATGCTATATAGAAAGTTATGTTTCATTGTTTTATTTTTCAGAACAAGAACTATTCTACATGTGTTACATGCTGTAAAGTGCTGGGTTGTTTATTTGGGAAGTTTTGATTCTGACTGCTGTGCACATTCCAGTCCCTAAGGCAATCATTGGTATTTTGAGAGCCTCGCTGGCCTCCCTGCAAGACTGGGACAGAGACATGATTCTCCCAAGAGGTGACTCTCCTCCTGGAGCATGCTACCTAGATCTGCACAGGTATGAAGTGGCTCCACTACAAATTAACACCTAGCACTCTCTGTGTCTGCCCTTGTAAGTGTTGGCATGGGGGACTGCATCAGAAACCCTGTGTGACTCCCTTGCCCTGACATACAAGACTTGTCTCTCCAGATTGACAGGTACACAGCCCTCTGACTGAACCTCAATTTCAACAACTCTGGGAGACCCTTTGAGGTACCCCCAGGACACTGTTGGGGTTTCAGTAATAGGGTTTCACTTCCCACTCTGATTTGTGAACCCGTTGAGAAATAAGATAAAAGACCAAGTGCTTAGAAGCCAAAATATTACATTCGCCATTGATGAAGTTTAGGTTGGAAGGCCTGACTTGTATCTCTTGGCAAATGGAACCTCAGTTTTAGGTGCAGTCCTTTCATGGGAGTGCTGGGCCAGGGAAAGCTTCCACCCTGGCCATGGCCTGCCTGAAGGAGCTGAGCAGAGCCTGTGCTCACAGCAGATGAGTACTCCCAGGAGGAAGACATGAGGTTCTGAGCCAGGCTCCCAGTTTTCCTCCCAAATTCACCAGGTAGAGAAAGAACTCTGACATGGGCCAGCGTTAGCCAAGAACTGTTCCTTTCCCACAAAGTCTTCTCAGGGCAAATGTTTATAGAGTGACAAGTTTCCTCAAGAGGGACATCTGGTTACCCTGTAATCTATTCTATTCTGCAGAATAACTAAAACATGCTCTTCCATGCCCTGTCTGGTGTTTACCAAAAACCAAAGCTATGTGCTGGCATTCATACCTCCCACAACTGCAGTCACTTCTTCCGTTTACCTAGCATCCAGCACCCACTCACCACCTGCTGTAGTCTGAGGACACACAGAGTATCCTGGCTTGAGCCTAGCATTTCCCTTCAAACTGCTTTAGGGATGCAACCTGCTTCTCTTTTGTTCTTACACAGACAGTTCTGTTGGCAGCTTCCATATCTTTGGACCTCTGTATCATTAAGTATCACATGGCCTCACAACAACAATAAATAAATGGAAAACCTAATCCTCATGTGTGTGTTTTTAAAAGTCCGTTCCATTTAAATGAGTCATACCATTAAGTCAACACACAGTTTCGCTTTAAACCCTAAGTCACTATATAAATCCCCAGGGGTTCACTGTGACCCTATGTAAGACTTCTTCCTTGTTCTGCAAACTTTCGTTCTTGGATTACACATTTCCAGGGATGACTGCCAACTCTTCCCTTTGCCCTCAGTCCTCTGAGTGTGTGTGTGTGTGTGTGTGTGTGTGTGTGTGTGTGTACGCGCACGCGCATGCAGGTGCAAGTGCATGTGTATTTTATGTCACCTTTCCTGTTTTCTCACCAACTTGAATCAATTCCAGTTTTCCACTTTCCCATTAGTGTTTGGTGTGTGTGCTTTGCTGAATTGGTCAAAGAAGCTTCCCACTCTGCAGAATTTTCAAAGGCTCCTAAGGTAGAGAGCATTACACTGGGAAAAAAATGAAGCTTTCTGATTCTTCAGAGACTCAGCCTCCTCCTTTGAGGACCCAGCTGCTGGTCAGGTTTAGAACCCGGCAGGCAGTCTATGCTTCCATGGTCTTTCCCAAAACACTTAGGTTTTCCTTTACTACGTACAACCGTCTACATTTTAATGACTTGTTTCTCTTTCTCCTTCCCTGCTCTGTGAATTCCTCCAAGGCAGAAACTGTGCTAGCCAGTTATGATGGCTCAAGCCAATAATCCCAGCTACTCAAGGGCCTAATCACTTGAGACCAGGAGTTTGAAACCAGCCTTGGCAACACAGTGGAACACTCATCTCAAAAAAAGAAAAAGGGGTGGGGGAGAAGCCTGTGTTGTATTCTTCTTTTGATCCATTTCAGTTACTTCCTGACTCTTAGTGCGAGCTCACTTAATATTTAAGAAAAGGTAAAGCAAAAGAAAGAAGCAAGGGAGGCCAGACGGGAGAAAGGTCCCAGCACCCTTGAATATGCTGGCACTCCCTGTAGAAAGCAGGTCCTACATGTTTCCCTGTGTCCGGCTCCTTCTCTCTCTCTCATTCATATGTCCATTCAGCATCACCCCTTCAGAATGTCCTTTCCTGACACCCTTATTAAAGGAGCCACCACACAGTCATGCTCTATTTTACTTTTCTGTTTTATTTACCTCATAGCTCTTTATGATCTGAAATTACTTAGTTGTTTATTTATTGCCTGACTCTCTCCACCATAATGTAAGCTCCGTGAAGTACAATAGTGATCAGGATCTTAAATAGTGCTTGGCACATGATAAGTGCCTAACAAGAGTCAATTGAAGCTGGACGTGGTGGCTCATGCCTATAATCCCAGCACTTTGGGAGGCCAAGGCCGGTGGATCACCTGAAGTCAGGAGTTTGATACCAGCCTGATCAATACGGTGAAACTCCATCTCTGCTAAAAATACAAAATTAGCCAGGCATGGTGGTAGTTGCCTGTAATCCCAGCTACTTTGGAGGTTGAGGTGGGAGAATTGCTTGAATTTGGGAGGCAGAGGTTGCAGTGAGCCAAGATCACACCATTGCACTGCAGCCTGGGCAGCAAGAGTGAAACTCAGTCTCAAAAAAAAAGTGGGGGGTCAATTGAATGAATAAACAGAGAAAGAGAGGAAGACAGGCAGGCTCCCCTCTCCCTTTTGCCCACTTGAATTGACAACTTAAAATGCAGAACAGACAAAAAAAAAAAACTGTCTTTCTGTCCTTTGCTGACATGTCCACCCGGCTCTTTAACATGGACTGCAGGGCCCAGAAGACATCTTTACTGGAAGAGCAGTTCAAGATTCAAAAGAACACCATCAGGAATGTGGTGATCCTTGGGCACAGAGCCCTTCCAGAAATGGTTCCAGCCACTCTACCTGTGTTCACTCTACAGACTGAGCTTCTGAAAGGATGGTGGGGAACACAGGTTTCACAGACACCCACAGGTATTTAAGCAGAGGTGGGGGCTACTGCTGATATATCATGGCACGTGGGAACATGTGGCACTACAAGACCTCAGAAGGCCCTGGAGCCAGACTTGGCCAGCCAGGGGGCAGGGGCTGCTGCGCTGCTGCTCTTCTAGCTGCACTGTCCTCATCTCTCCTCTGTGCATCCGCTTCCTGCTCTCTCACTGCAGACCTGTGCATGGGAGCCAAATATGGCTGCTCAAGAACCCCACAGGCCCATTTCCCAACTCCACAGGGGAAAATCTGGTGAGTCCAGTTTGGGTTCAATGTCTACATCTTGTCTGCTCAGCTATGAAGGGAAGAGGGTCACGCTGCATGGGTGTGGCATCTGGTACAAGGTTCAGAAAAAGGTGTATGTGGTTGGGGGTCACCCAAAGACACTGCCCATCTTTACCTTAGTCAACAGATGGTGTGCTCAGACTCCAGTATCTGAGAAGCAGTTTATGGTCACTGCCCTTCAAATGTCCAGATGTTTTCCATTTGTCTTCTCTGTCACTAGCCGACAATCACCTGGCACTGGAAGCATAAAACATAAGAGGCTGCCCTCTGAAATATTTGCTGGGTCACGAAGGGCATTAAACACTTGTTTCCAGTGTTAGGGAAGCTAAAACAGAGGTCGTAGTTCAAAGACAGAGAAATGTTTAATGTCTAAATTGGTCTGAGGAAGCCAAATGCTGCAGAAATCCTGTGGGCAGCTTTCCATCTTCCTCTTTCATCAGCGTCAGGGCCTGAGAAAACAACTCTTGGAATGTATCCACTTAAGTCCAACCACTTCAACAAAACAAGACAGAATATATTCTGAATGCAGTCCAAACGCACCTCTCCAGGGGTGATTAACGAAGCCAGCTCACGCAGCCTTATGCCTCCTGCAATGACTACTTCTGACTCATTCCATTGGTTTTCTGGCCTTATAGCCCAGGTGTATGTGCTGTAAGGTGACATTAGGTGAGATCATACCCTGGTGGTTTTTTTTAATACTTGGTATTTTTCAGCTGAATTTATGTTTAAGGAACTGTCCCTCTGTTGAGGGAAGCTTGTTGATGGACTGGAAGAGAGATGGGAGGAAGAGGGGCATAACGTAACGTGGCTTCAAAGAGAGATGCAGCTCTGCACACTAAAGGAAGAAACTGGTTTAACTGTGGACAGAGACACATTTCCAAAGATGGAGACACAGTCCTACCCTGAGAATATTAGCATATGTAACCTAGTGTGTCCACCGCTGACCTGACTTATTGAAAGGTCTGGGGCCAGTTCTGGCTGGTCCCATCTTGCCCAGGTACTATTCCATGAAGACCTTCTAGGTGACCAAGTCTTCAGTCCTGGGGCTTCTCAGTGCCCTGGACCATTGGACGGGTAGGGGGGGATTTTCACATGATGTGGGAGGGGCTGAGGGCTGAACAAAGCCCGAGGGCACAGGTGGTTGCCTTTGGGCCTGGCTAGTCATCACAGTGACTGCAGGCCATAAGCAGCGTTCACCACAGGCAAATGGGACATCTAATCTATGTCCTTAGGACAAGTGAGGGTCTCCAGGAGTGTGGAGCTGATGGGCTACAGTCCTTGTTTCAGCAGAAGACAACTATCTCTCCTTCTGTCCCTGGGGTCCTTACCCTCTCCCTGTACCCCGGCCTATGGAATACTTAGTCTGGAGAGCAGAGCTCTCTTTGCAGTTTTACAGTTATTCAGCAAGCTGTTTCTGTGTTACACCTGCACTGGTGACTTTTGAACTTAAACACTACAAATGTGGCTCTTTAATTCTCTACTTCAAGAGTGACATCCTTCCCCTAAAGCGATGGATGACTCATATGTAATTTTCTGGGCTAGGAGGAAGATCATCAGAGTGCAAGTGAAGAAAATCAGAGGACACAAAGCTGGAAGAGGTGTGCAGGTTGCGGGGTGGGTGGGAACACAGAGTGAATTATTTACATTAACCCACTTCATATATGGGATCAGGTGTTGTGCCTGTATATAAGGTTTTGTTATTGTGGACTTGTGTGTTCTCACTCACATGGTTTCTCACAGGGCTGATGTACAGACATGTAGACCTCGCATGCAGGAGAAAGCAGGAAAAGTAGCTGGACTTGGCTTGGTTCCATAGAGTCTGGGCTGAACTATGGATGTCCTGCTGCAGAGTTGAGCAGAAAACCTGGATCCTGGGATATGTACCAGGGTGGGACAATTCTGAGGCATGCTCTATACCAGCTCTGTCCAATAGGAATATACTGAGAGTCACATATGTAATTTTACATTTTCTAGTAGCCACCGTTTTAAAAAGCAAAAAGAAACAGGTGAAATTAATTTTAATATTAATATATTTATTTACCCTAGTCTATCTGAAATATTATGTCAATGTGGTAAGCAATATAAAAAATAACCAGATATTTTACATTATATATATACTGTTAGAAATCCATTGTGCATTTTACATTTGGAGCTCAACTCAATTCTTACTAACTACATTTCAAATACTCAGGGGTCACCAGTGGCTACTGGCTACCACATTACAGATTAGGGAAGCTATATTCTGTTTCTCACAGGTTCCCAGTGAGATTGAGCCCCAGGTACCCACAGTGGTAATCTTCTGATGAATGCCCCCATCTAGATTTCCTTTCCTTCCCTGAAGGCCTCCACTCCCTTGCCAATGCTTCCTGGGATCGTCCATCAAATGAACTACTTACTCTCAACTCCTTGCCTCCATGTCAGCTTCTGGGAAATCCAACCTAAGACATGATGGTTCTAAGTCCATGAGCACTAAGGGTAGCCACATCTTCTGTTAGTTAACTTGTCATTTTTGAACTTTCTATTATTTTATCATGGAGTAAATACTTGCTAAAAGTTACAGTAGGATGTATTCTGTGTTATGACAACCTAGGGGAAGGGTCTGCCCATTCTTGAGCCTGAATAGCAAAGGAGAGAATAATGTCCCCTTCCCTCAGGCCAAAGTGGTGGTAGCAGTAGCAGTGCCCAAAGAGATAGCTGTGCTTAGCAGAGGGGTGACCTCGAGAGTGTCACCAACAGCAATGTGCCTGGGCGACAAGGAGACTGGGGCAGCAGAACACAAAGGACTCATCTTGCTTTCATATAAGATGGCCCTGGGTACCCTCGAATAGGCCAGAGGATAGTTTCCAATCACCAGACCAAGGGGAGGAAGTACTAGTTACCAAAATTTTATGTTTAAGAGGAAATTTAAATTTTTGTAAATATAGATGATAAAGTCAGGATACCCTGGTCACAAATGCATTCTTTCTCTTTTTTGTTTTGTTTTGTTTTTTGAGACAGAGTCTTGCTCTGTCACCTAGGCTGGAATGAAGTAGTACAACCTCCACTCACTGCAATCTTTGCATCCTGGGTTCAAGTGAGTCTCCTATCTCAGCCTCCTGAGTAGCTGGGGCAACAGGTGCACACCATCACACCGCCTAATTTTTTTGGTGTTTTTTGTTTTGTTTTGTTTTAGAGACAGGGTTTCACCATTTTGGCCAAGCTGGTCTTGAACTCCTGGCCTCAAGCAATCCCTCCACCCACCTTGGCCTCCCAAAGAGCTAGGATTACAGGCATGAGCCACCTCACCTGGCCCCAAGTGAATTAATTCTCAATCTGTTGTTTCAGTCAGGATGACTTCAGAGAATCCTCTGTCCATGCCTCCGAAAACAACAAGAAAAACAATGACCGGTGGAGATGCAGACCAGCTCTGGCACTGTTCACAAATCCTCCTAGAAGAGGTGCTTTCTAAGGAGTGGGAACATGACTTACAGTGATGCCAAACACCACCTGACACAGAGCAGCCCTGTGAGGGTGTGGAGCAAAGACAAAAGAGCAGTTTCATGTCAGCAAGCACTAAATATTTCTAGAAGAAACCTGACCCCAAAATGTCTACATCTACATATATTAACAAAATATTCTGTGATTTATTTATCCAGAAACTGGAAATTTCCTTTCTGCTCATTTGTACTTTGTCTCCAGTTCTCTTATGCAAAATGGAATACTCTTTTGAGAATCTAGCTGATTATCCAGACACATTTTCTCTGGAGTTCTCATCTCTCCAAATAAAGGCCAATATATTTCAACCTCCGTCAGCCAACATAATAAAAGAACAAAATATTACACAGAAGACAAGTCTAACTTTATGGCCTTATTATTTTTTTTTTTTTACCTTCTCAAAACATGTGCCTCATCATCTTTTCCAAAAAGTGAATTTAAAACAATATTAACATTTCATTTTGGCTTCCACAGCACACTTTACTAACTCTCTCTAAAGTCACCAGTGACTCCCTATCCTAACACACAGGGTCTTCGCTTGCTTCTCTTCCTACTTCAATTTTCTGCAGCCTTCAACATATTGAACAACCTTTTCTTTGTTCACTCCATTGCAATAAACATTTAGTAGTACCTACGATAGGCCAAGCACTGTTGGCTTTTAGACATCCTAAATTATTTTCCAAAGAGCCCCTGATAATAAATACACTGAGAGACACACGCTCATCGGCTGTAAGAAGTATACCTAGAAAAAGCACAATGGAATCATTTTTCTCATGAAACGAGCAAAATGCTACTCCTATTAAAAGAGGGTTGACATGCTTTTCCTTGCCTTAGGAACTACCCATAGTTGAAATAAACAGAAAGATTCTAAGGAACTGTAGGTCATTGACAGAGGTAAACTAATTTTGACAGCAATCCACATAATTACAAGTGGTTGGTTTAGGGGCTTTAGAGCTGTTACTAGGCAGTTTAAAACATAGGAAGCAAGCTCACTGCCTAGAAGTTGAGAAGCTGCAAATTAATCCCTAAATTTAGCATCCTGAAAAGCAAACTAGCTGAAAGCAAACTAGGTGCACGGTTGCCCAATCAGAAACACAGAATCAACTCACTTAGCAATAGCGAGTTATGTTTCTGCTCTGAAGGTAGGTCAACAGGGTACAGGCACTGCCCAGAGGACAGTCACCCAGGGAGGAAGTCTGGGGCTAGGTTTCCTCAAGGAAGCATGGTTGAAAGAAGAAACTGCATTGTAGCTGAGAGAACTCAAGGTCATCATCAGGAAGATGGTGCTGATACAAGTTTCAGATCTGAAGGATGAATTAATAATGATTCTATGTCTCAAGAGTAATGAAATCGTGATCATCACTCATATCTGCTGCCTGTATATGCAGAAACTAGGCACTCTCCAGCCTTTACCTCAGTCAATGAGATAAGATGTTGCTCTTTTTCTTTAAATGTCAGCGTTTCCCAGTATTCCACCTTTACCCCTCTTCTCCTGTTTAAGCTATTTTCCTAGGTGGATGAGGAACCTGGGGCATGGAGCATTTAGGTAACTTGCCTGAACCGGAACAGTGAGTAATAAGACTACAAGAAGAGACTCAAGCCCAAATAAAGGAAGGCTGAAAACCAGAGAATGAGGTGTGAGTCAGAAACCACAGAGAAGGTCAGGACAGAGGATGGGGCAAAGAATGGGATGGTGCAGGTGGGTTAGAGCTAAGTCCAGGAGGAACTACAGAACACTGAATAATTCTCCTCTGGCTGTTCCCTGGAGTATCCCAGAAAAAGGAATGGTTGTTGAGAGGAACCATGGAAGTAACAGGAAAAGTATGGTGACATAAACGGGTTAAAAATGACTTCTGATTGAGGCCAGGTGCAGTGGCTCACCCCTGTAATCCCAACACTTGGGAGGCCAAGAGGCAGGGGCGGTGGGGGGTGGGGAATCACCTGAGGTCAGGAGTTCAAGACCAGCCTGGCAGACATGGCGAAACCCCATCTCTACTAAAAATACAAAAAAATTAGCTGGGCATGGTGGCAGGCACCTGTAATTCCAGCTACTTGGGAGAATTGCCTGAACCAGGAAGTCGGAGGTTGCAGTGAGCCAAGATCACACCATTGCACTCCAGCCTGGGTGATGAGTGAAACTCTGTCTCCAAAAAAAAAAAAGAAAAAAAGAATGACCTCGATTCAGTCAGTCATCATTTAACATGTATTTACTGAACACCTACCATAAGTCAGGCTCTGTTCTAGAACCAGAATTGAAAAAGTAGATAAAATACTGGCTCTGGAAGTGTGAATACAGAGGCTTAGAGTTGGGCACACTCAAAATCACTAGGCCAGGCCAAGCACCATGGCTCATCCCTAAATCCCAGCACTTTGGAAGGCCAAGGCAGAAGGGTCACTTGAGCCCAGGAGATCAAGACCAGAAGGTCAAGGTAGCAGTAAGCCTTATTTATACCACTGCACTCCAGCCTGGATAACAGAGTGAGACCTTGTCCCAAAGAAAAATAAAAATCACAAGGCCAACCACATCTCCTTCTGGTTTTTCAGGGTTTATTTTTTTTAGAGACAGAGTCTTGTTCTGTCACCCAGGCGGGAGTGTAGTGGCGCAATCATAACTCACTATAGCCTTTAACTACTGGGCTCAAGGAACCTTCCTGCTTCAGCCTCCCAAGTAGCTAGGACTACAGGTGCAGGCAGGGTCTCACTATGTTGCCCAGGCTGGTCTTAAACGTCTGGCCTCAAGTGGTTCTCCTGCCTTGGCTTCCCAAAAGCACTGGGATTACAGGTATGAGCCACCATGCCCAGCCACCTTCTCATTTTTAAATTACCTTCTATGACTCCCTCACCAAAATAATAATAATTTAATACACACACACACATGAATACACACACAATTACTGATTGTAGTGATGGTTGTACAATTCTGTGAATATAGTTAAAACCATTGAATTGTCTACTTTAAATTGTATACGTATAAATGTATACTTAAATTGTATGGTATGTATATTATATGTCAATAAAACTGTTACCACAAAAATAATAACTACCATTGCTTGGGCTTCCAAAAAAATTTTTAGGTAAAATATTTTAAAGAACAATTTAAATATATATAAAACAAGTGTTATGGTTTGAAGGGGTACCCTCCAAAATTCAGATGTTGCCAATATGACAGTAGCAAGAGGTGGGGCTTTTAAAAGGTAATTAGACCATGAGGGCGCCTCTCTTAGGAATAAAACTGGTGCTCTTATAAAATGGCTTCATATAAGGAATGCATTCGTCTTGCTCTTCTACCTTCCACCATATGAAAACTCAGCATTTCTCCTCGCTGAAGAATGCAGCAATAAGGCTCCATCTTAGAAGCAGAGAGAAGCCCTCACCAGATACCAATGCTGGTGCTTTGATCTTGAACTTTCAGCCTCCAGAACTGCTTGAAATTCTTCTGACCCCACACCCTTGGGGCTAGTCTGGAATATAGGCCTTTCCTTTATATTTCTAAGACACATCTCTGTTTGCTTCTGTGATCTTTTAGAGTGAAGGCACCTTTTCTTATTCATGAATATTCCATTATTGATCTTTCTATATACAGTGTCCCCTTAGCAGCAAATACGTCCTTTAAATGAATTCTCATTCTTTTAAATGGATGAAATTCACTTAAACCATGGCTTCTCCCTAGTGAGAGGGCTAGGCTTTGGGAAGCAATAGAGATGATGGTGGAAGTAACAGCTCAGTACTTATAGCCAGCAGGCACACATCCTCATCCCATCACTTTGGATTTTTCCAAAGGATTTTTTAAATTGGTCTAGGGGGGACTTGGATGTCCATTCCCAAGTGATTCTATTAAATAGGCTAGACTGAGAACCACTGACTCCAGCCATGGGAATGGGAAGGGAAATGACTGATTTTGAGGGATGTCACCCTCAAAGAACATTCAAGGAGTAGCTCCTGAAAGTCTAGAGTGGGAGTGTCTAGGCTTTCAGGAGCTACTCCTTTAACATTCTTTTCTGAGGCTGGGCACAGTGGCTCATGCCTATAATCCCAGCACTTTGGGAGGCCAAGGCAGGTGGATCACTTGAGCCCAGGAGTTCAAGACTAACCTGGGCAATATGGTAAAACCTCATCTCTATGAAAGATACAAAAATTAGCTGGGCATCGTGGTGCATGCCTGTAGTTCCAGTACCTTGGGAGGCTGAGGCAGGAGGATCTCTTGAACCCAGGAGGTTGAGGCTGCAGTGAGCTGATGTCATGGGATCCTGCAGGTGTCACTTCACCAGCTGGAAACCTCTGTGGCTGGTGGCACTTTTGCCTGAGTTTTTACTTGGGCCCACTGGACTTGTTCCACCCACTCAGCTCAGCTTGCACTACTGGCCTGAATCTTATGCCTGCCAAGGGCGAGCCAGATGCAAGCAGAGCGGGGTATGTGAGTGAGCAAGTATGGGGCCCAGCCACTGAGGACATCCAGGCACACTGGCTGTGGTGGGGCAGGCAGCCCCAAGCACCAGCACAGGTGCCAGCTCCCTGTGAGGCTGTGCCTGGACCAGGTGTACTGCAAGCAGCTTCCACGGCTGGCACTCAGGAACGTGGTGGCACCTGGAAACTTGGAGATGCCAGGAAACACAGAGCCCCAGAGAGGGTGTCAAGCCCTGGCTTGGAGCTCCTAGGTCTGGTCTCCCCAAAGGGCTGTAGCTCTTCTCTCCTTATTGCCTACGACATGGTGAGCAAGGGGCGTGTTTCAGACCAGTTTGTGTCATAGCTCTTTTAGCCCAGCCATTCAGTGCATCCCAATTCTTGTCCTGTGTCTAGGAAGAATGAAGTACACAGACAAGTGGAGGGTGAGTAAGTTGAAGAGGAACTTACTGACAGAACAGCTCAGAGGGAACCACAGTGGACTGCTCCTCTCCACAGGCAGGGTGTCCCATTGTTCAGCTCTGAGCAGAGAGGAGGCCCACAGTAGGCATCTCCTCTCCAAAGGCAGGTTGTCCCAATGGTGTTCAGCTCTCAGCAGAGGAGACCCTAGCGTGGGCAGCTTCTCTCTGCAGCTGGTAGTCCTGACTTCTTCCCAGCTTTCAGTAGAGAGAAGACCATGGACTAGGTAGCTCCTCTCCACAGGCAGGTCTTCTGGACATCTGGAGTCTGGCTGAGTCCAGGGGTTTTTCTGGGCTTCAGAGGTGAGGAAGTACATGCTGATTGGTTCATGGGTGGCTAGGGCTGGGCCTGGAAAAAGCACCATAAGTTCCCATTCTGACCCATCAGCCTGGTTACCAAGCTTCAGGCCACCCCTGGCTTGAAGGTGGGGCTTCACCAGGGACCCACCCCTTTCCAACCAGGAGCCTGTCAGCCTCCTGCCACTGCCCACGCTATTTGTGCTAAGGGGCACCTGCAGGCCCATGCTGGGCTGCCCTCAGTGCTCCTTCAGCCTCCCTCCTGTGCTCCTCAGTGCCCAGTCTGGAGGGGAGCCAGGGCAGCAGGGGGCTGGCATGTCAGTGCTGCTCTGAGTATGCCCACACCCGGTTGGGTTGCAATAACACCTGGGCTTGTCCTCAACTTTGCTCCAAAATCAGAGTGGGCACAGGAGCAGGGAGAGGACAGGCAGCAGGAGCAGGCACCTCTGAGACCACAGGGGATGGAGGGCTTCCTGGCCTCCAAGAGATGCCTGGGTCCACAGCCATGGCTGGGTAGTTGCAGCTGTGCCTAGGAGGGCTCCTGCCTGCTTCTGGCCCCCAAGAGCACAGGGAGGTCCAGGTCTGAAGCCGTGACTAGGCAGTCACAGCTGCACCTGGGAAGCATAAGGCTCCCACTCTGCCAACTCAGAAGGGAGCAGGGCTTCCCCTCTTCCCAACTCCTGCCAGCTCCGTAGAGCCCACAGTCCTGGCCAAGCTGCTCCTAAGCTGGAACAGATACACCCATTCATGAGGTTCAGGATATAATAATGATTCAGAGAATGCTCAAGCATCCTCGCTTCTCTGATCATTATGTCCCGAAGCACTTACCTCAGTCTACAACCTGTAATCAAGAACACTGGCCTTATTATCAAAGCTGAACTGGAATCCTGGATCTGATATTTGGTGGGAGAATGACCTTGGGAAAATCATGTTTCTAAGCCTCGGATTTCGCATCTCTGAAGTTAGGATAATAAAGCCTACCTGTGAGGACTGTTATAGGCCTTAAATTCCCACTGCAGATGTAAAGTGCTTGGCTCAGAGTGAATGTGAAATACATTGCTAGTGATTATTTCTTCCCGGGGAGTTGTAAGACTGGAAGATCTAGCCCCTCCTCCAATATCCCCCTGCTGGTATATGGGTGTACAACCTCCAAACATTCAGGACTCATAGCAGGTGCCTGCCTGCACTCTTCAAACTAGTGTTCTAGGGGGAAGGCAAAGGGAATGATCCCTTCTCTTAGGTTCTTTCATCCGCCCCAGCAATGTCCTAGTCTTGGGGTGCACTAGCAAATATTATCAGAGCATTTTCTCAGGTCCACGCCTGCCACCCTACACTTTCCTGATTCTTCCTTCCTAAGCTGGGAGCCATTCCTGAAGGCAAGCCCCCAGGAGTCTTCACAAAGTCCCCGTACTGAAAGATCTGAATCTCACCACATAATATCTTGCCATTAAAACCTAAGAGTGTCTGTCTCTGGACTGGCCATTTTTTCTTCCAACAATTTTCAGATATTTTATAATCCACAATTTACAATTCCACAATTACCTGGAATAGAATTTGTTCCTCAATACAGCATCTGACATCGGGCAGGAAGTATGGAATAAATTATCAAGAAGCAGTTAAAGCTCCACCTGTTAAAATCCTCCCACCCAGCTAAAATACTGGGTGAACTCCTCTTTCATATTGTTTATTGGTCAGAATGGTTTCCTCTTCCCTGCCTCTGAATTCTTGCTATCACTATCTTTACTGCATACTTACGAACTGATCCAAGATTATACAGCTAATAATTGCCAAATCTAGAATCCAGCTGTACTGACCTGAATAGCGTCTCCCCAAAATTCCCATCTCCTAGAACTTGGAACGTGAACTTACTTCAAAATAGTGTCTTTGGCTGGCATGATGGCTTATGCTTGTAATCCCAGCAATTTGGGAGGCTGAGGCAAGAGGATCGGTTGAGTCCAGGAGTTTGAAACCAGCCTGGTCAACATAACAAAAGACACTGTCCCTACAAAAGTAAAAATTAAAAAAAAAAAATAGCTGAGCGTGGTGGCACATGTCTGTATTCTCAGCTACTTGGGAGGCTAAGGAGGAGGACTGCTTGAGCCCAGGAATTTGAGGCTGCTCTGAGCCATGATTATGCCATTGTACTTCAGCCTGGGTGACAGAGAAAGACCCTGTCTCAAAAGAAAAAAAAAATTGTCTTTGCAAATGTAATCAAATGAAGATAAGGTCATATTGAATTAGGATGGATCCTAAATCCAGTGACTAGTGGCCTTAAAAAGAAGGAAATGTGGACACAGAAACACAGAAGAAGAAGCTCATGTGAAGATGGAGGCTGGGGTGGGAGTGATGGTGCCACAAGCCGAGGAATGCCAAGGATTGCCAGAAGCCCCAGAAGAAAGAAAGAGGCAAGAAAAGAGTCCTCCCTTACAGCTTTAGAGAAAGCGTGGCCCTGCCAACTTTGGACTTCTAGCCTCCAGAACTGCAAGAGAATAAATATCTGCTGGTTTTGGTAATTTGGTATGATGGCCTTAGGAAGTGAATAGACTGTCAGATGTCAGACACCCTCATGCTTAATGACTCTCATCCACACCATGATGCTATGTGGCTCATGCTTGTAACACCTAAACTGCATCCTGCACAGCACATTTCTCAGTAGAAGGCACTACTACTCTTCTATTTCACAGTAGGAGGCACTAGAAGTTGAGGGGGGATGGAGGCTGTTTTTAGGGATGAGGAAGAGGTAGGATTATTGCAAGGTAGTGGATGGGTGGGGCTGTTTTTCTGAAACTATGCCCAAGCTTCATTGTTAGCCAGACCCTGTGAGTTAGCAGAAAGAGGAAAATTAGTTTAGTAATGAAAGAATTGTGATGCACTAGAAAGCAAGAAGGATTGGAAGTTGCAAAGCCTGCCACAAACGAGCTCTGTGATTAGGCACATGGTATTCAGATGTGGCCGCTTAAGTTAGGCAATTCATCTTGGGAACGTTGACACATAGCCTGAAAAGCAAAATATTACTCTTTCTGCAATTAAAAAAAAACTCCTGGAATCCTCATTCATTCCCACCCAATTCCTGCCCCTTACTCTATAACTCCCAATTCTAACACAGAGCAGAAAGTTAACTTTTTAGTTGACCAAATAAATAAGGGAATGAATACTGAGGACAGAAAAGGGTTGGCGGTATCAGAAATGAAATGATGTGAGTCAAGGAAAGAGAAAGACTCAGATGTATCGTAAGGGCATGAAAGAATGTTCAAGAATCAAAGATGTCTGCCACTAACATTTGGTAATCCAAAGCCATAACAGAAGCAAATGTGACAATATATTGATATCTGTTCAATCTTGGTAGTGAGCATAGGGTGTTTGTAATATTCTTTATAGTTTGGTGGGTTCAAAATGTTTCCTTTAAAAAAGAACAAAAGTGCAGTAGCAACCTCCAAATAGCCCGATCAAAGTGAGTGGTTAAATTGGCAGCATTCAGTTCACTTGCTTTGATGGGAGAACCCCTCCTTCATCAGCAGAACTGATTTCCCACACACGGATAGACCAATACAACCCTTTTGGAAAGCACCTGCAAAAATATATATGAAAAGCCATAAAATATTCATTTCCTTGGGCTTTGTACTCCTACTCCTGGGAATTTATGCAGGCAATGATAATTTGAAGGGAAAAACGGTGAAAATATGTAAAGTCTGTGACAATTTTTTAATAACAATGAACACTCCGAACGATTTAAGGTTTCAGTGGGGAGTGCTCACCACTGCCCCAACCCTGGTCCCGCCACCCTAAGCTGTGCCTGGATGGCTGTGTATAAGGAACAGAGCTGTGCTTTGGTCAAGGATAAGCCGAAGTAAACATCCAAAGGCACTCAGCAAGTTTAGAGCACAGGCGTAAAACTCCACTCGTTATCACAGCCATGTAGCCATGACATGGGAAGGTAATCCCTTGGCTCTAAGCCACTATTGTCTGTAAAAGATATAATTGCCCTGTTGACACTGTGCAGGCACACTGGTGCCCAGAGAGAGAGAGAGAGAGGGAGAGCCAGAGCTGTCTGTCTTGCAGACGAACAGTGGGGAGCCAGGACAAAGCTCGGCTTGCTTGTGCCCAGACAGAGTAAGAGTATAGCTGCTGACCCTGAAGGCAAAGCCCACCACACACCTGTGTGGGGGTGCCGCTGGACTAAGCAGCTGAGACAGGGCAGACAGTATAGACAACTAGTGTAAGAAAGCTGTTGATGAGAGTTGCTGCTGAATAAAATCTTTCACCTGTCTATGGTCCTCCCGGGTGTTTCTTCTATTCATCCACCCACTCCCCTTGGACCTCAGCAATGGGCTGGAACCTGACCCCAAGCATGACATTCGAGGAAGTGGTGACCCTGACACTGTGGTAGTCTCCACCTGGTGTCTGCTTCTGCCCTTGCCCCTGCCTTCTACTCTCCACTCAGCAGCCAGAGTGATCCTTTCAAAATGAAATCAAACTGCTTCCTTGCTTCTCTTCAAAATGCTCCCATCACCCTCACTGCTCCACCCTGGTCTGAACCACCACCTCCTGGGGCCTGAATATAGCAATAGCTCCCTAACTGGTTTTCCCTCTTCCACCTTCTCTTCCCTTAGCACAAAAGTGAAAGTATTTCTTTTCAAATCACAAATCGGATCAGGTCACTCAGCTCACAACCCTCCAGTGGCTTCCCGTCTGACTCAGCACACCCATATGACTCAGCACACAAGTTCATCTCCTTCTAGGCACACTGAGCCTTTTTGTTGGTTGCCGGCTGTACTCATAATGCTCTCTCCTTATATCCACACGAATCACTCCCTCACTTCCTTTAAGCATAAATCAAATCCCTTATCTCAGTATTGACAAGCCGAGAGCAGACTCCTCCAAAGTGAGCAGTGCAGTCATCGACCACGTTAGTTTAAATGTTGCCAACCCACACAGCCTCATCCTACTTCCCTGTTTTATTTTTTCCTCTTAGCGTTTATCATCTTCTAATATATTAAATAACTTATATATAGCTGGTCATGGGGGCTCGTGCCTGTAATACCAGCACTTTGGGAGGCCAAGGCCTGGAGGTGGGAGGCCTGACAGATCACCTGAGGCCAGGAGTTCCAGACCAGTCTCACCAAAGTGGTGAAATCCCGTTTCTACTAAAAGTACAAAAATTAGCCAGGCATGGTGGCACGCACCTGTAGTACCAGCTACTCGGGAAGCTGAAGCAGGAGAATTGCTCGAACCCAGTGAGCAGAGATCGCGCCATTGTGCTCCATCCAGCCTGAGACAGAACGAGACTCCATCTCAAAAGAATAAATAAATAAATTCATTAATTTAAAAAACTTAGATATAGCTGGGTGTGGTGGCACGCGCCTATAATCCCAGCTACTCGGGAGGCTGAGGCAGGAGAATCACTTGAACCCGGGAGGCAGAGGTTGTAGTGAGTGGAGATCATGACACTACATTCCAGCCTGCGTGACAGAGTGAGATTGTATCTCCAAATAAATAAATAAACTTAGATAAAAATTTTCAAGTGTCTACCTCGTCTGCCCCAAACACACATAGGCTAGAATATAAATTCCATGAAGAAAGGGATTATCAGTTTTATACACAGCGGTTTTCCTAGCACCTAGAACAGTGTCTGGCACATAGTGGACAATCAAAAAACATTTTTTTCTTTTCTTTCGAAAATTTTTTTTCTTCAAAAATTTCTTCAGTATTTTAGTTACGCTGTTTGTGTGTATGCATGTGTACGTGTGTGTGAGTGCGTTTGTATATGCCCAAAACAGTAACTGACAAACATAGCATCAGGAAATTGTAGGGCAGGATCTGGGAAAAGGGGAGGAACCCGAAGGTACGGACAAGCCTATACCGGACTCCCCCGAAGTGAGCAAGCAGCAAAGGCTGACAATGCCAGCTGCCTGGGCACTGACGGATCCCACCCACGGAAACGTTACCTTATGGGGAAGCTAACCCGGGCCACTCGCCGACGACCTGCGCAGGCGTGGCTTGAGAAGCGGCCCCGCTGTGGGCGGAGCCACCGGAAAGGCTCCGGTGGGGGGCGGGAACGGGAGCGGCCAGCGGGGTGCCGCCGATAGGCTGCCGCAGTGGCAGGGTGGGCTCTGCCGAGGAACCCGCCTCGCCCGGGGGCGGTGCCTGCACCTTAAGCCTCTGGGAGAGGGAAGGAGCGCTCCTCCTAGCTCCGCGTCGCGACGTCTAGATTTGCGACGCCGTCGACCCCAGGGGCGGGGCCGGAAGCGCTACGGTTTGACCCCCAGCTCTGTTCCCGAAGGGGCGGCAGTCTTTCTCCCTATCCGCTCCGCCTCCTCGCCTTCTCTCCCATTACCCGGAGGCCGAAGCTCTCAGTCAGGGCGGGGCGGCGGAGCGCGAGCTCCTAGACCCGGAAGAAGCGCCATCTCCAGCCTCCACCATGGAGCCCACCGCGCCGTCCCTTACCGAGGAGGACCTCACTGAAGTGAAGAAGGACGTGAGTAGCGACATTCTGCCCAGGGCAGGAGGGGGCGGGCTGCAGTCCAGCGGGCGAGGGAAGCGGAAACCTGGAGTCCGAGGACAAGGAGGATCCTCCAGGTCGGAGGAGCGGAAGGTCCCAGCACGGGAGGAATGCGGCGAGCCCTGCATCCGAGGGACCTGGGTAGCAGTGACCTGTTAATCTAGGTTTTACGTCGATAAACGCAGAGCTTGGGCTTTGGGAACCTTGCCCAGCGGAGCTTTGCTTCTTGCCCACTCCTCTCCCATCCCCGCATGCTTTTCCCCCACTGCGTTCTTGGAGATGCTTCTTTAGGGACTGGCGGCTCAGATTCATCCTTGAGTCTGGCCGCCTAGGCTACTATATCAGCCTAGAGCAAAGGTTGTACCAGATGAAGGATCCCGAGCAGTGGACCAAAAATGTGAAGCTCTTTTGCATAGGGGGCTGGAGGAAGCTCAACAGCTGAAAGCACAACCCGGAATTCCCCTAGTTAGCAGACACCCACATATTTAAATTGGGGTTGGGGGAGTGAATACACGTAGCTGAGAATTATCCTACAGGTAAACGTCGAAAATATTCAGTAGCTAAATTATGCTCTTCTCGGATGGTGCAGAACTACATAAACCTTCATATTGATTTGTATCGCATGGCTTTGTTGAGATATGACATTCTTTTGTGTTTAGTTACTTGTTTTGCCAGATGAGACCTATATGAGTTTCACTAAAACACTTTATATAAATTCAAATTAAAAACAAACTGAACATGAAACGTGTTCTTATTGAGCATTGCGGTACTTTTACACAGTCATTTTGGTGAACTGGACAGGATGGCAACTTTTTAAATGTTCATCCACTTCAAATCCCTTCCTCTTCCCTGTAAGGTTTATTACACTGTACTCACAATTGGTGTGACTCACCAGCAGAAGGAAACTGGATATGACTGGGACTTGTGCTTAGTTTCCTCATTCAACAGAGATTTATGGAGCACTTACTATATGGAAAGCACTGACCTTGGGTCTGGAAGGATACAAAAAATGAAGATCAGTTTCCTGCTTTATATTCTAGTTGAGATAAGAATGGCATATAAATAAACTACTGTAGAATAAATGTTGGCTTATTCATAGTGAGTACCAGTAAAACCTTGAACTTCCAGGAGCTAGGCCTCCTATGTTCCACATTCTGTGTCACAGTTTACAATGTTCCCACTTAACCTTCACAACAACCTCTAAAGAAGATAATTGCCATTCACATTTTACAGCTAATAAAACAGGAACTGAGAAATTACAAGTGGAAGGAAATAAGACCTGTATACAAATACAGTTGTAAAGACTGGCTTCCAGGTCTTTGTTTTTCTGTCAGTTCATTGATGTTATCCATCTTCAGGATTTCATTTTATGCTTATATCAGAATTGCATAACCTTGAAATGATGGATGGATTTCAAAAGGTCTATGAAAAAAACTATGTGCATGCTTTCTTCTTAGAGATTTTTTTCATGATATTTTCAAAATGTTTTCTGATCTTAGAAAGTTTTAAAATTATCATCAAAATATTTGGACCTCTCTCTCTACTCTTGGTCCTTATTTCCAAATGTCTACTGGAAATCTACTTTTATATCCTACAGATTGCTCACCTTGACAAAAATTGAACGTTTTATCATCCTTCCCCCTCAGTTGCTTGCTGTTGCTGCTGTATTGTCTGTCTCGATGAATGGTGTGCTACCACTCTTCGTCTTGGGACCGCTCACTTCTTTAGTGTCTCTTGCTGTCTGGTTATTTGCCTCATCGTGTTGGTTGGATTTAGTCCAATTTAATAAATATGGATTACATGCTACTGTGAGGCTGATACTGTGGTTGGTTCTACAATTTAAAAAATTAAAAACTAAGACAATCCTAACTTGAAAAGAGTTCAGTTTCTTGAGGGGGATCATTTTAAATCCCAAAAATAAGTGCAGTGAGTTTTGCATTCATCTGAAGCATTATCTACTTGGTGCTCTGGGTTAAGTACAGGATAGACAGTGTTGCTTAAAACATACCTCTTTGCTGCCTGCTTCAAACAGAGATGTTAGAGTTGAAAACAAATAAATGTATTTTTACATTTATTTGTTTTCATTATATAAATGAAAACAAAATAGATTTATTTGTTTTCATTATGGCGGTTATTATGAGGGAATCAAACAGTGCCAAGACAGTAATAGGGGAAATCGACTTGAGATAGGATGGTCAGGAGAGGTCACATTTAAACTGATTCCTGAAGAATTTGACAGAACTGAGGGAAGAGCGTTCTAGGCAGCATAGAATTTGCCAAGGACCTAAAACAATCAAGACCTTGGTGACTTGGAGAAATCGGAGGAAGGCAGAGAGGATAATCTGAAATGCAGTTAGGAAGGTGGGCTAGAGCCATTTTCATGAAGAGCTTTTTAGTAAAGTGTTTGGGTTTCTTTTCCCCAAAGTATAGTAGGGACTCGTTGAAGAATTGTATTTTTTAAATTCCCTCTGCCTGTTTCATGGACTGAGGAGAGCAAGAATAAGAGCAGGGAAACCATTGAGCAGGCTCCTGGAATCTATGTGGATGAAAGATGATGGTGATTTGGATCAGGGTGAAGGCAGTGGAGATGGATGAGCCAGGAGAATTCCAGATGCATTTTTGAAATAGATAAGATAGGACATGGTGATGGACTGGACGTGAGAAATGGGGAAGAGGATGTTTAAAAGTGAAGTGTTAGCTTGAAAATAGGGTAAAAAAAAAAAAAGAAAGTGTTTATTCACACAGGAACCGATCACCTAGCCTACTTTCCCGCCATCATATTCTAGGATATTTCTAAGACCTTCCATTACCTTTGTCATCATCACTAGCATATATTGATCCCTTACTCTGTACCAAGCACTTTTTTAAGCACTTTGCATATATTAATTTATTCATTCCTCATATAACAGTCAGCTGAAGAAACAAGTACAGAAAAGTTAATTACTTGCCCAAGATCCTGTGTCTAGTAAATAGAGGAATTAAAGTATAATCATTGGTATCAAATTATTAATGCCATTTATTGAGATCAACGTGGATTTTCTACTAATCAAGCTGTCAGGTACTTCTCAAGTCTAGGTTTGCTTTTTTGGTGTCCTTTTTCTTTATTTCTTCCATTTTTTCCAACAGTCACTATTCCTTTAGGTTTCTCTCCCCACACATCTTTCCATCTCCGTTCCTCCAAGACTGATTCACTGAGTTAGAGTGTAGTCTTTCCAGCTGACCCCAAAGACAGATACGTTATGGGCCCTTTCCATTTAGGGATTTGTTTTTGTTTTTAACAGTTTTACTCTAAGGAAATAGAGTAATTAATGACAAACATGAGAAAGTTACAGACTGTGAAGCCTCTCACTTCTAAGTTATTGGTCCTAAGTTATTAGGACTAAGTTATTGGTCCTAATTCTGGATTCCTTGCTAACTGATAAGTAAAATGTACAGTAGTCTTTGCCCTCATCTTTACCTCCAAAGATGGCCCTCCACAGACCTCCCTGTTTCCGAGGACCCAGGCCCTCAAGATTCAGCTGGTCCCTCCTCACAACAGCCTGCTCTTGGGTTTTAGGTTTGAAGGTGAGATAAGAGCAGTGAGGAATGTCTAGGACCTACTTGTGTCTATTTGGATTTTCATTTTATTTAGCACGCATTTTACAAGGCCTGAGCCTCCTCACTTTAGAATTTTCTCTCACACCAGTTAAGATTCCCAGCTAATGCACACCTATGTGATTTTCTTAGATGTTACAGAACAACATTGAACCATATTTTGTGTCTTTTAGGCCTTAGAAAATTTACGTGTATACCTGTGTGAGAAAATCATAGCCGAGAGACATTTTGATCATCTGCGTGCAAAAAAAATACTCAGTAGAGAAGACACTGAAGAAATTTCTTGTCGAACATCAAGTAGAAAACGGGCTGGAAAATTGTTAGACTACCTACAGGAAAACCCAAAAGGTCTAGACACCCTTGTTGAATCTATTCGGCGAGAAAAAACACAGAACTTCCTGATACAGAAGATTACAGATGAAGTGCTGAAACTTAGAAATCTAAAACTAGAACATCTGAAAGGTAAGATATCTTAGGTATCTAAGAGTTAATTTAAATATAATGATGCTTTTAAAAAATGCAAAGCAGGCCAGGTATCTGCACTTTAGGAGGCTGAGGCAAGAAGATTGCTTGAGGTCAGGAGTTTGAGACTGGCATGGGCAACATAGCGAGACTTTGTCTCTACAAAAAATTTAAAAATTAGCCAGGCATGGTGGTGCATACCTGTGTTTCCAGCTACTCAGGAGGCTGAGATGGGAGAAGCCCTTGAGCCTGGGACACTGAGGCTGCAGTGAGCCATGACTGTGCTACTGTGTTCCAGTCTAGGCAACAGAGCAAGACCCTATCTCAGAAAAAGCAAAACAAACCAGAAATGATCATTTTGCTTTCAAAAAGTTTAAACTTCAAAATTATATTCAATTTGTATTTATTTTCCCTTATATGACATTACATTGAAAAGTGGAATATCACTCAACATCCTGTATTTATATTTATTTAATACCATTTATAGAAAACTATTATGAAATCCCTGTATACGTAAGCGTTTGTTTCTAAAGTCAACAGAACGTAAAATTAATCTATTCCAGAGTAACCTCTGAAAATACTGTACATAACACATAAAGAACAATATTTTGGCAAAGTATTTTAAAAGTCTAACTCTGCTAGTTTTTCTCCCACCAGTTGATCACAAGATGAAATAATCGGCATATGTTTATAAGAATCAGGTTGCATAAAAGATTCATGACTTTAAATACTAGTCTGGCAAGATGTGAAAGCATGGAAACAGATGAAAGAAATAGCAAATTCACCTGTCCCATTTTACCCTCACTCCAGAATGTACACTCACTGACTGGAATGTTGTGTAGAATTGCCTGCACAGTTTAAATCCCCAACCCCCTACCGCCTCTGTTTCTGTCTGTCTCTCTCCAGAGCACATAAATGTGCATGTGATGTTCTACAGCTGTTCTAGGCATTAGGGATACAGAAATGAATAATTTAGGGCTCTGCCCTTAAGGAACTCGTCTTCTTTAAGTCCTTGCTCGGACACATTCCAAGTTTTCCCTTTGAGTCATAGCTAAGAAAGTAGTTTCTATAGCATGGGATAGACATGCTAACTGTATTGTGAGATTGAAAAACTAGTGGAAAAAGTGATGTATAAATGTACTTTATGCAGGTTTTACCTAAAAATTGTCAACTCAGGGTTTCTGTTCCTGTAGGTTGAATATTTGCTAAGAAGGGTAAATTGTATTTGAATTTATTCTTTCAATCATCTGGATGATAGTTAGCTATACCCTTTGGATATGATAAAATTCTTTGATGGATCTAAGTTGTTTTCTGCTGTAGCAGTACCTGAGACAGGGTAACTTATAAAGAAAAGAAATTTATTCATTTCTTAGAGTTCTGGAGGCTGGTTAAGTCCAAGACCATGGCGCCACCATCTGGCAATGGGTCATCCGTAGTTCAAGGACAGAAGATGTAAGGGCGCAGGAGGGCAAGAGTGTGAAAGGGAAGAAAAGGGAGTCAAACTTCCAAAATAACTAACCCATTCCCATGATAATGGCGTTAGTCCAGGGCAGAGTCCTCATGACCCTGTTGCCTCCCAAAGACCTCAGCTCCTAACACTGTTGTAATGGCGACCAAGTTTCCAACATGTGAGCTTTTAGTGGGTACATTCATACCATAGCTGATGTGAATAACCACTGTCATTTGAGTGAACTATGGGGTTGAGAAACAGGCATTATTTATTTAATTGTAGTTCTCATTTTCCCACAAAGTAGCTCTGGAATGTTGGGCACGACTTAACTGTCCTGTGCCTTTTTTCCCCCCTCATCTTTAATAATAAGAGACTATCCTAGGTGACCTCTCAAATTCCTTTTAGTTCTGGCATTCTATTATTCAATAATTAGTTATTGCCATTGATCAACAGATGGAATTTTAGCATCTGCCCTGTTTACATTTTGGTTTCATTGGCTAATATTTTTTGTACCAGAATACTAAAGAATATTTATTAGTTATAAAAGCTATTTCTTATTTTAGAAAAAAATTTTAGGAGCTTCTTTACTTTTTCCAGATCCTTCAGTGGTTAAGTTTATACATATAGTATAACTTAAATGAGAATTATAGCATGTTGCTTAACTTCCGTGAAACTATTTTCTTATCTAGAAAATGTGAATAATAGTATACTTCATGGTTGTTGAGAAAAGCAAATTAGATTTGAAATAGGTTATGACAGAATATATAAGTTGCTATTTAACTTTTGATTGTGTGGTAACTAGCTTGTAATCTTTAACAAGTTACAAGATGGACACCGACTCCATATTTGTTTTTTAGTTACTTTTTCATTTACATCTGAATAATTGTATTGTAGGACTGAAATGTAGCAGCTGTGAACCTTTTCCAGATGGAGCCACGAACAACCTCTCCAGATCAAATTCAGATGAGAGTAATTTCTCTGAAAAACTGAGGGCATCTACTGTCATGTACCATCCAGAAGGAGAATCCAGCACAACGCCCTTTTTTTCTACTAATTCTTCTCTGAATTTGCCTGTACTAGAAGTAGGCAGGACTGAACATACCATCTTCTCTTCAACTACACTTCCTAGACCTGGGGATCCAGGGGCTCCTCCTTTGCCACCAGACCTGCAGCTAGAAGAAGAAGGAACTTGTGGAAACTCTAGTGAGATGTTTCTTCCCTTAAGATCACGTACTGTTTCACGACAATGACACTTTATTTCCTTTTAGTTTTTAATAATGACAAAAAATGTTTTAAAGAATATGAATCTTCTTGTAATACTGCTATAATGATTTGTTTACATTTGATACATGTCTTTTAAAATGCAATGTAAGCATACCTTGTAAATAGAATTTTTAGAATAAAAAAGCATACTTTTAGGATAGCTAACTATAAATCATGTTGATCATGTACTTTTTAGTAATTTCTTTTTGTTCTTTTTTTAAAGTCTTTCAGTATTTTTTAAATATTTTATATTTTCAGACTAATTTTAATAGGGACTATATCTCTGAGAATAGACTCTTACACTGGGAATAACGTTTTTTTCTCAGTACATTTGTGCTAGAAATGTTCAGTCTAACAGTCTTTGCTAGCCATTAAGCAGAAAATTTTCAGCATTAAGCTGTTCCTGTTCAGTAATAAAACCAATCACTGATTAGAAAACTACCAATATAGAAAAAAAAATTTTTTAATCTCTTTCACACTCCATTATCATAGGCTCTTAAACAGCTGCCTACTGATACTGGAGGAACACTTGATGGAGTGTGAGCCACCTAAGATCTCAGTTTGCCAAAATTCATTTCTAATTAACCTTACTAATGATCCTACTTTGTTAGGATTTTCACATTCTTGGCTTAATTATTTTCATTCCTAAAGAAAAATATCTTGGCCTAAACCTTAGTTACTAGATGTAATTTGATGAGGGTTTTTTTTCACTCTCTTTTTTTGAGACAGGGTTTTGTTCTGTTGCCCAGGTTGGAGTGCAATGGCACGATCAGGGCTTACTGCAACCTCTGCCTCCCATGCTCATGTGATCCTTCCACCTTAGCCTCTCAAGTAATATAGCTGGGACTACAAGTGCATGCCACCATGCCCAGCTAATTTTTGTATTTTTTAATAGAGACAGGGTTTTGCTATGTTGGCTAGGCTGGTCTCGATCTCCTGGACTGAAGCAATCCAGCTCAGCCTCCCAAAGTGCTGGGATTACAGGCATAAGCCACCTTGCCCAGCCTGATGAGATTTTTAAAAAATGTTTTCTCTGTACTTTTAATGAGGTCCACTGTACAGTTGAAATAACTAAAAGAAATTATTTTTCGTGTGTGTGTGACAATTCTGTTTTTAATGCTATTTGAGTAAGTGGGCCATTGGCCAGATTTGTCTTTTTGTTGTATGACAAAATTAACTAATTTTACACATTTGTAAATCTTACGCTCCCATTGTTATTTAAATTACAATTTTACCTGTTTCCTGACATCTGTCTCCTATGTATTTCTATTATTAATTGCAAAAGCATAGAAATGGAAATTTTGCTATTAACAATAAATTTTTTTTAAGTAGTGCTACTTTATAGTTTTAAAATTTTCAATAGGAAATATGTAAAACTTTTTTTTATATATGTACCAATATCTATAGAAAACATTACTTCTGGTTATGAGATTGAGTTGCATTTCTGGATGGACTGATGAATTTATCAGTCATGAGGAAGATTGGTATATTGGCTTTAAACATTTTTTTTTTGAGACGGAGTTTTGTTCTTATTGTCCAGGCTGGAGTGCAATGACGTGATCTTGGCTCACCACACCCTCTGCCTCCCAGGTTCAAGCAATTCTGCCTCAGCCTCCAGAGTAGCTGGGATTACAGGCATGCACCACCACGCCCAGCTAATTTTGCATTTTTAGTAGAGAAGGGGTTTCTCCATATGGGTCAAGCTGGTCTCAAACTTCTGACCTCAGATGATCTGCCCTCTTGAGCCTCCCAGAGTGCTAGGATTATAGGCATGAGCCACTGCACCCGGCAGCTTTAAACATTTTAAAGATTGGATTTTTTTTAGTATAAACATTTTCTTTTTTTTTTTTTTTTTTTTGAGATGGAGTTTCGCTCTTGTTACCCAGGCTGGAGTGCAATGGCATGATCTCGGTTCACCGCAGCTTCCGCCTCCTGGGTTCAAGCAGTTCTCCTGCCTCAGCCTCCCGAGTAGCTGGGACTACAGGCGCTCACCACCATGCCCAGCTAATTTTTTGTATTTTTAGTAGAGAGGGGTTTCACCACGTTGACCAGGATGGCCTTGATCGCTTGGCCTTGTGATCCACCCGCCTCGGCCTCCCAAAGTGCTGGGATTATATGCGTGAGCCTAGTATAAACATTTTCTAAGGATTATAGAGAAATGTTTTAGCTCCAATGCATAGCAAAAATAGTGGTATTAGAAAGAAAATAGGTTACATTTAAGGAAGGTGCTTTAAAAAAAGCAGAAGCGGTCTTGAAAAGTCCACTTCTTTTTAAAAATTGAATCAAAGATTATAATTTAGATATATAGTAACACCTATATATAGATTAGTTTTAACAGTGTTTTCTAACTATATAGACAATAAAAGTAGGGTTTGTATAAAGCTAGTTTTGTGGGGTTTTGAGTTCTACAAAGTCATTTTTTTCCCTTTGGCCCTGAAAACTAGCCATTGCCAAAGTGGGTAAGTTAGGAGGACTGACAGGATGCAGTTTGTGAATTCATTAATGCAACAGTGAAAAAGTTATCAGGGATACCACCGTATTGTTACAATACAAAAACACCTTCGCTCACTTTTATATGTATGTATATATTTTTAATACTATATTTTTGGAGCAGTTGTAGGTTTATAAAAAAGCAGAAAATAGAGTGTTTCCAAATACCCCCTTCTTCCTCAGTTTCCTACATTTTCTTGCACTGATGTGGCACATTTGTTATAATTGATGAGTCAATCTTTTTTTTTTTTCTTTTTTGAGATAGAATCTGGCTCTGTCACCCAGGCTGGAGTGCAGTGGTACAATCTTGGCTCCTGCAACCTCCACCTCCCTGGTTCAAGCGATTCTCCTGCCTCAAGTGACTCTCCTGCCTCAGCCTCCTAAGTAGCTGGGATTACAGATGTGTGCCCCAACACCTGGCTAATTTTTGTATTTTGAGTGGAGGCAGGGTTTCACCATGTTGGCCAGGATGATCTTGAACTCCTGACCTCAGGTGATCCACCCACCTCATTCAGCCTCCTAGAGTCCTGGGATTACAGGTATGTGCCACCATGCCCAGCATGATGAGTCTCTCTTGATACTATTATTAACCAAACTCCATTGTTCACATTAGGGTTCTCTCTTTGTGTTATACAATACTGTGGGTTTTGACAGATGTATAATGTCATGTATCTGCCATTACAGTATCATGCAGAATAATTTCACTGCGTTAAAAAGCTCATGTGCTCTACTTATTCATACCTTTCTCTCTCTCATCTCCCTCCCAACCCTGGCGGCCACTGATCTTTTTATTGTCTCTGTAGTTTCATCTTTCCCAAAATGTTACATAGTTGGAATCATAGTATGTAGCTTTTTTCAGACTGGCTTCTTTCTCTCATCAATATGCATCAAAATTCTTCCAGGTCTTTTCATGATGAGTTCACTTTATTTATTTATTTTTAAAGATTTGCCAAGTTCACTAGTGGGAAGGGGAGAAAGAGTAGACCAAGGAGTTCTATTTGTAACTGACTGAACAATCAATTGAGATAATTCACTACTTTCAGGGGAGCGAGAGTTCACTTTTGAAGCTTTGGTCAGCATATCACTCATTGTGCAATGTCAAACACTGGCAAAATAGGGACAGGCTAGGATAATAACAATTTTTTGTTTTCATACATAGTTTTTTATTTTAAGTCCAATGTATCAAATTATTTCTCATGGCTAGCAATTTTTGTCTCTTGTTTAAGAAATTTTTGCCATCTCAGCATCCTGATGATAATTCTGTGCTTTTTTCTGGAAATCGTTTTAGTTTCTCATTTAGCTCTACGATGCATTCCAAAGTAATTTTTATGTATGGTATGAGACAGAAGTCAAAGTCAAGTCTTACAGCTACCATCTTTTTTTTTTTTTTTTTGAGGCGGAGTTTCGCTCTTGTTACCCAGGCTGGAGTGCAATGGCGCGATCTTGGTTCACTGCAACCTCCGCCTCCTGGGTTCAAGCAATTCTCCTGCCTCAGCCTCCCAAGTAGCTGGGACTACAGGCACGTGCCACCATGCCCAGCTAATTTTTGTATTTTTAGTAGAGACCGTGTTTCACCTTGTTGACCAGGATGGTCTCGATCTCTTGACTTTGTGATCCACCTGCCTCGGCCTCCCAAAGTGTTGGGATTATAGGTGTGAGCCACCGTGCCCAGCCAGCTACCATCTTTTTGAGCAATGCAAAAAGGAGATGGAAGTTTCATGCTGTAGCCTCATATTGTATCACTGAGTAAATAGGTCCACTGTTGAGTTTGGAAAAAAGCAAACGAATCTACAGTTTTTTAAATGTAATCTTATAAGAGCTTTCTGAAAGGAGAGCTGAATTTAAGCACAGATAATATACAAAAAAATGTAAGTGCTGCTGCTAAAATCTTTATAAATGTTCTTCATACTGAATTTGCCATACTATTTAATTACCAGAAATAGCTCTTTATTGCAATGGTTACCAAATGTTGCTGTCCATTTAGAACCAACTGGGGAGCACTTAAAGATCCCAATCTCCAGGCTCACCCCATACCCAATAAATCACAGTGTTTGGTTGTGGAAGCCAGGCATCAGATTTCCAGGTGATTTTTCAGTGTGCAACAAAATTTGGAATCCACAGCCTTATTAGATGCCAAATAATGAGCTTAATGTTAATATACATATAATCTTGTTTTTTAATTCTAAAACCCTGCAAGAAAGGTTTTATTGTCACTTTTTTTTTTTTTCAGTGAGAAACAAACTCAAAATCAATTATTTAAAAATCACACAGCTCTTTAGGATTAAAATCCAGGGCTGTTTGACTCTTAACCCTGTGTTCTCATACAACTTATGTTTTCATTATGGGAGCGAGTCCAAACATAAAGAAAACCAAGATAGTTCTAGTTACCATGGTGACAAAGTAAGGCATGAGTTAGAAAGGAACTTGGAAGATCATTAATAGTATTATCTTGAAGGCTTCTCAGAGTAAGTGAGGCTTTGAGCAGGGACCTAACTCATAAAAAAGGAGCCAGCAATGGAAAGTCCTAGAAGGAAGAGTGCCAGGCAGAAGTAGCATTGAGGTCAGAAGCAGTGAGGTAGGAATGAATGAGTGAGAGAACCTGGAAACTTTAACATCTTATTAACAATGAGCTCACTTAGCACCCAGACCTTGGCTTCTAAATACCATTCTCCATTAAAAGGAATTAAAGTTCCTTGGAAATGGCTAATTCCAAGGCAAAGTATAAGATAGCCTGAAACATCTTGTTCCAGGAAGCAGGCAAGCGGTCAAAGAATCCTGGAGAGAACATGTCCAAAGGACACAGCAGCCTGCTTGAAGGGGCTCCCACTGGCCAAATCTGATTACATCAAAATAAATAATAATGGATTATGACTTATTTGATAGCATAAGAAACCATGAGTCAATGCTAATAGAAATTAATGAACAGGTCGGGCGCAGTGGCTCATGCCTGTAATCCCAGCACTTGGGAGGCCGAGGTGGGCAGATCACTTGAGCCCAGGAGTTTGAGATCAGCCTGGCCAATATGGGGAAACCTTGTCTGTACTGAAAATATAAAAATTAGCCAGGCGTGGTGGCAGGCGCCTGTAATCTCAGCTACTCAAGAAGCTGAGGCATGAGAATCATTTGAACCTGGGAGGTAAGAGGTTGCAGTGAGCTGAGATTGTGATACTGCACTGCATCTGAGTGACAGAGGGAGACTCTGTCTCAAACAAAATGAACAAATAAATAAATAATTTGAAGGAGACTGTGATGTTGACATAGTCTCTAAGTACCTCCCAACAAAAATACTTATTTACAAAAGAGGAAAAAAGTAACTACAGTGGAGAAGCCTGGCAGATACAACCTTACACAAGAAATCAAAGATAAAATCATCAGTGCCAGGACAAACTGAAATCATGTGCCTTCTGATAGAAGGCAATGAGAAGACCATAACACCACTTTCATAATATTCTTGCCCAAGATTCATAACCTGACTCAAATCATTAGGAAACATGAGATGAGGAATTGTTGGCAGCTATCTTGGTAGACAATCTGCTGCAAAACTGCTAAGTTTGGGGAGCTTATGAGACACTGAAGTAGGAAATTGCATACAGGAGTTTTGTGTTCCGGAAGACTTCTGGACCAGTTATATAAATGTGGAGTTATTAGCATAAACTAATATTTAAAACCATGAAACTTGGTGAGTTTGCCTTGAAATGGAGGGTAGATCAAAAAGAAAGGAAGGCTCAGAACTGAGTCTGAGGTTCTGCATCTAAAAGTGATACAGAGAAAACCAGAAAGGGCCCTGTGAAATAGAAAGAGAACTAAAGTATATGATCTAGTAAAAGGTCAGAGAAAAAAAGCGTTTCAAGAAGGCAACGATCTTGATGAAAGGTCAAGTAAGAAGTGGTCTTTGGACCAAGTCTCACAGAGACCACTGGTGGTTTGATAACAAGGACTCACGTTGCTCAAACTGAGTACCTCAATCTCCGAGGCACTCAACAATGAGTCCATTTTAAAAGCCACTCACAATGTTTTACTCAGTAATAAGTAAGTTTAAATATTTTTGTCTATTAAAAGAGCTTTATAAAGACAACTATGCAAAATTTCCATACATTTTCAAGATCTTGTATTAAAAAAAAAAAAATAGTATGCCCATGATCAGTTCAGCTTCTGGAGGAACTGGAAACCGAAGTCAGCCATGTGGGCAATTAACTTTGTCTATATGGCCAAGCTCCAATAAAAACTCTGGACAACAAGGCTCAGGTGAGTTTCTCTAGATGGCAGTATTCTATGCATACTGTCATGTATCTTTGCCAGGAGAAGTTCATACTGTTCACAATTCCACTAGGAGAGGAAAACTGGAAGCTTTGAATGTGGAACTCTACACCTTGGCTGGTCTCCCCCCTACCCCACCTGTATTCTTTGGCTGTAGTAAGCTGTAACCATGGGTATAATGGCTTGCAGTAAGTTCTGTCAGTCTTTTAGTAAATTATCAAACCTGAGAGTAGTATGAAGTTTACGAAACCTGAAATTAGTGTCAGGAGTGAGGATGGTTTTCGGGACTCCCAAACTTTGCACTTTGGGATCATCAATTTCCTCTGCCAACATAGGTACCTGCATGGAAAAATTTGGGAATCATTTTCCCATGCAGGTACCTTCCCATGCAGATACACCATCATAAATTATTATAATGCAAAAATATTTATTAACCATCTGCTCTGTGACAAGCACTGTGCTGGGTACTAGGAACCTGAAAATGAGCAAAGTATGGTCCAGCTCCTCCTCTCAAGGAGCTCATAGACATTGTACCACAGGAAAGAGAGAGTGAACAAGATAAATATATATCTCTGCCCTGAGGCCTACTTCCAGGGAGGAATGGCAAGTTATGTGTGCCTGTGAGTATCATCTAAATGAGCAGCCATCCTTAAGTGAAATCTAAATATTTACACTGATGCCAACTTCATTTGGGTATCATTCCCATTTAGTTCACCAGAAGGAGTCAAAGATTTCTGGTTTCTCTGAATACTAGGCATATGGTTACACCATTAATCAAAGGAAGGAACACAAATGCAGAGAAAAATTATATAAAAAGACAGGTTACAGTTCCAATAAGTGGGTGTTTGAGGCCCCAGAAGGATGTCCATATGGAAAATGTAAGATTCAGATGGTGGTGGGGTCTAGAGTTTGATGGAAAGATTGGGGTTGGACACCCAGATTTGGGAATCATATTATAAAGTAGTTAATGCGGTGGAAACGGATGGGCTGACTTGCAACTTTATAACACCCTTTTAAAATGTTAGAAACCCAGCCTGGCCAACATGGTGAAACCCCGTCACTATGAACAATATAAAAATTAGCCGGGCGCCTGTAATCCCAGCTATTCCGAAGGCACAAGAATCGCTAGAGCCTGGAAGGTGGGGGTTGCGGTGAGCCGAGATGCCGCCACTGCACTCCAGTCTGGGCTACAGAGTGAGACCCTGTCTCAAAAAAATAAAAATTTAAAATTAAAAAAAAAATGTTAGAAGCATCTCTGAAAGATAGTACAATATGTTAGGAAACACCAACATTTAAGGGCCATCTGGAGCAAAGCAGGCAAAGAAGGAAGGAGGCTGACAATGAGAAGTCAGAGTTTGGACAAACCCGAGTGGTGGGCTATGATCTAAGAGGAGTTTTATCAAAGCTGTTCAGAGTGCATTTGAATGAGGTCAAGCAGGAAAAGGATTTGGTTCTTGGCTTGGGAAGTCCACCACCCCTAGAGGTCTTCCATGGCAACCTAGGGAAACACACTGAGAGTAATTTTTATTTGAAAGATGAGATGCAGTGGATCAGAAAAAATTCCAGCCTCTCTGGGCAAGGGCTAAAGTGGAGTGACAGTGAAAAGACAAAATTTATAGCTTTTCTATGCCTTTAGTAAATGCTATCGAATGCGGGAAGTATGGCTGGGCTCCCTGGCTCAGTACTTCGTCTTTTTTCAGAGCTCCTCAGAAATGAGCAAAAGCAGCCCCCGCCCCTGCTTGGGAACTTGCCCGGCCCGCCTCCAGCCTCAGCCCCTCCGCGAGGGAGTAGCAGCGTGGCGCAGCCGCCAGGGGGCGCAGACTAAGGTCTTATTTGCAAGGCGTGGGGCGGGGCCGAGAGTGGGGAGGGCCCTGGCGTGGCTTCCGGCTTCCGGCGGAGTGCTGGGTTGTAGCTTGCAGCCGTCATGGCAGCCGAGGAGAAGGACCCGCTGAGCTATTTCGCGGCGTACGGGAGCAGCAGCTCAGGCTCCTCGGACGAGGAGGATAACATCGAGCCGGAGGAGACAAGTTGCAGAACCCCGGATCCGGCGAAGTCGGCGGGCGGCTGTAGGGACAAGGCGGAGAAGCGGCTCCCGGGACCCGACGAGCTGTTTAGGAGCGTGACTCGCCCGGCCTTTCTCTACAATCCGCTCAACAAGCAGATAGACTGGGAGAGGCACGTCGTCAAAGCACCTGAGGAGGTGAGGTCCCCGACCCCATTTCCCGGTCTCGACCCCGGCCTGCGCCCCCTTCCTCATGAGCCCCCTGCTGGGGACCTGCTGTCCGTTCCCCCACACGCAGTCACCCCCGCGGGATGCCGCACCACCCCCTCCCACCTCAAGCCCCGGGAAGCCCGGCCCCTTCCCCCAGCCTGGTGGGTGTCAGACCGGACCCGCAGCCCCGCCCCCTCGTGAGGAGACCCAAACCTCCGCGCTCGGTGCCCCGACCCCGCGCGGCGAGGACTAACGGTGGTGACTCCCCCGCCCCCCCGCTGCAGCTTCTCCCTGAGACCCCTTCCCTTTGACGCCGAAGTGCCTGCGGTGCTGCCTCCAAGACAGTGTCTGCTGCAGCCTCCTGAAGGGGTCAGCCTTGGCGTAGTATCTCTGAGACTGGATTCTTCTTTGGTAACTAAAAGTTATTAGCTTTATTCATATAGGGAACCCTTTGGCTTTTCACTTAACAGTATTGTGGTTTTGATGGAAAAATGTGTCTTTCAACCTTAAAAAAAGTCAGCCTGAACGATAAGCGAACTGCAGGGAGATGCATGTGCCCACGTCTATCATAGGAACCTCGGTTCGTCACAGTGCTTCTTAATGTGCTTGCTTAACAGCCTCCAAAGGAATTCAAAATATGGAAGTCAAATTATGTACCACCTCCTGAGACCTACACCACTGAGAAGAAGCCTCCACCTCCAGAGCTTGACATGGCAATAAAATGGTCTAACATATATGAGGACAATGGTGATGATGCCCCACAGAATGCTAAGAAAGCTAGGCTTCTACCAGAAGGAGAGGAGACATTGGAATCAGGTAAGGAAAGTCAGAATCTGGTGGTAATCTGTTTTGATCCGGTGATGGGCTTAAAAAGAATGAATTAATGAATGAAAATTAAATCTAGTGAATTGGCAAAGTAATCTGATGGTCTTTGGATACTTCTTGCTCTGGTTTTGAGAAAGATCCTATATATTTGGCTTTAATGCAAAGTCTCTCATAGCTCAGCCAGTAGTTGCTGTGTTTTAGTAAAAGATGATACATTATTCAGGCTTTAAAGTGAAATATCTGATATCCAGTAGTCTGTGATTCATGATACCTTATTATTTTATTATTAGAACAACACAAATCAATTCGTGGATTCTTGTGACTCGCTGCAGAGTGCTGATTAATTTTTTCTTTTTCTTTTCTTTTTTTTTTTTAAGGCGGAGTTTCACTCTTGTTGCCCAGGCTGGAGTGCAATGGCACGATCTTGGCTCACTGCAACCTCCGCCTCCGAGGTTCAAGCAATTCTTCTGCCTCAGCCTCCCAAGTAGCTGGGATTACAGGCGCCAGCCACCACATCCAGCTAACTTTTGTATTTTTAGTAGAGACAGGTTTCACTATGTTGGCCAGGCTGCCAGTTCTTACTTTAATTTTGATTCTTGAACTCCTGACCTCAGGTGATCCGCCCACCTCGGCCTCCCAAAGTACTGGGATTACAGGCGTGATCCACCGTGCCCAGCTCTTTTTTTCTTTTCTTTTCTTTTTTTTTTTTGAGCAGTTTTGCTCTTGTTGCCCAGGCTGCTGGAGTACAATAGTGCAATCTCAGCTCACTGCAACCTCCACCTTCCGGGTTCAAGAGATTCTCTGGCCTCAGCCTCCAAGTAGTTGGGATTACAGGTGCCCTCCACCACAACCGGCTAATTTTTGTTTGTTTCTTTTTAGTAGAGACGCGGTTTCACTATGTTAGGCTGGTCTTGAACGCCTGACCTCACGTGATCCACCTGCCTCGGCCTCCCAAAGTGTTGGGATTACAGGCGTGAGCCACCATGCCGTGAGCCACCATGCCGTGAGCCACCATGCCATGAGCCACCATGCCGTGCTGAAGGCTTCATTTTCTATTAAGGCAGTGGTGCTTCCAAGCTAAAATTACTATGACCAAATGAATTTAACCAAGCATTACTACATAGTAATAGGGAGATAATGACTTAGTTGTTTTACTTTAGTTCATAATATCATAATTTCACCTCTATCACAGTATCTTTGCCTACACAGTCTTACCCAATCTATTCCATTCTTTACAGTGCAGCTAGTGTTGAGTTTCTAAAAGTCATATCTGATTATATAGCTTGCCTGCTTAAAACCCTTCAAAAGAGTCAAGGCCTTCTATTGATAGGCCCTTTCTCCCTCTCCACAGTCATTTTTAATGGCCCCCTTTCTAGCACTTGAATATCTTGAAATGCAGACTGAATTTTATGGTTCCCTGCCTTTCCGTATATGTTGCACCTTATTCCGGAGTGTTCTTTCTTACCTCTTTGGCTAGTAAACTCTAAACTCATTCATCCTTCAAAATCCAACTCAAAAGAAGAAATCTCAGGTATCACCTCTAATAATTATTTGCTCCTCTGTACCTTGTATATGCTAATGCTGTTGATTGCTCTCGTCACTTGTATGTGATTTTTTTTACAAGTCTGTCTTTATGAGGAGTTCCTCAAACAGCAGAATTTGAAGTGTTTATGTGTGTATCGGGTACATTGTAAGTATTCAGTGGATAGTTGTTGAACTAATGTTTTGGACCATTATTTTTAAGAAAGAGTATGCCATTTTTGTTAAACAGATTTCTGATCTTCCCACAATACAAGGGCTACTTATCCCCTTTTTACAGTCATACAGGGAGTGATGTTTTGTATTAAAAGAAAGGAGAACCAACTGGCAGGAGTTCTTATTTTAATTTTGATTCTACCTAGCTTTTCCATTACTTTTGCTGGCTGCCAATATGTATTAGAAGTCACTTTAATGAAGGAGCATCTTCAATAAGTGGCATCTTTTTGCAGACCTTAAGTGATGTGAACATTTATAATATCTCATATTGTATAATATTTTTCATAATTAGTAAAAATATATTTGCTTAAATAATCTTTAATTCTTACAACACCTTATGAAATGAGATAGAGCAATGTGGAAATGATAGCTTATATAGCTTGTCCAAGGTCACAAAACTAAAAAAATGCCAAGTTCTAAAATAGGCACTTTCACACAGTTTTCTAATTTATTATTGTTAGCAACCTGAGTACAGAAGTGCTACATGATTCATTATTACTGTTTTACGGATGAAACAATGAGAGATTAGAGACTTACCCAAATTCACGCAGCTAAAGAAGAGGCAGAGTAGGAATTCAGATACAGACCTTTAAATAGAAATTATGCCTTATTCATGGTGGTGCATGCCTGTAGTCCCTGCTATTCGGAAGGCTGAGGCAGGAGAATTGCTTGAACCCAGAAGGCAGAGGTTGCGGTGAGCCGAGATCGTGCCATTGCACTCCAGTCTGGGTAACAACAGCGAAACTCCGTCTCAAAAAAAAAAAATATGCCGTATTAAACTTGGATTTGGTCTCCTGATGAATAACTGTTTCTCAACAATGTTTGAGATATAGCTATTCTTCTGTAGGGATAATGGCATTAAAGATACCAGGGTTGATATTCAAACTAGATTTCCATAGGATGGTGCTCTCACATCTTTGTTCCTATATGGAAGAAGCCAGGATTATCACCAGGGCAAGCAAGCAAGAAAGAATTATCTTTTTTCCAGCTTTGTTTTTGAGTTAAGTTAGAAGGAGTTCCAAATATGTGGCAAGTAACACTGCTATTCACATAGATAATTTCTGTCCTTTTGATCACATGATAGCATGATGGCCCTTCATCAGAAAACAAATACAGGCAATATCAAATGATAAAAAGACCTTTTTAGAAGTGATTTTTGCCATTTCAGATTCCTATATCGTAAACCCACTGTAAAATCAATTTCTCTGGCATAATTTTTAGCCTGTTTTTTTAATTCGTAAAATACATATTAGAAACTCTGTACTCTTTTTTTTTTTTGAGACGGAGTTTCACTGTTGTTACCCAGACTGGAGTGCAATGGCGCGATCTCTGCTCACTTCAACCTCCGCCTCCTGGGTTCAAGCAATTCTCCTGCCTCAGCCTCCCGAGTAGCTGGGACTACAGGCGTGCACCACCATGCCCAGCTAATTTCTGTATTTTTAGTAGAGACGGTGTTTCACCTTGTTGACCAGGATGGTCTCGATCTCTTGACCTCGTGATCCACCCACCTTGACCTCCCAAAGTGCTGGGATTATAGGCGTGAGCCACCTCGTCTGGCCTGCACTCTTAAATTACCCAAATTTTAGATTATCAAGTTACTTTTGTATTTTGCTTTCTCATTCTGCCCTTGGCCTTTTATTGCCAGTTAACTTCCAGTTACTTTAGAGGAAGAGCTGGGAAAGGTTCAGAACTCATCATTGGGTCTTGCTGCTTATCAGCACTTCTGGTTTTAGTGGTTGTAAAATGTAGGTAAGTAAAGCTTAATTATTAATTTTAGCTTTATTGACATGTAAAATAATTGTAAAAGCATAGCTAATATGCTTAGTGATTTTTAGTTTACATTTTTTAGAATTTAGATAGTTTGTTTATATGTTAAACTTACTTGAGTGAGTTGAGTTCCATAATAAAAAAACTGTTTCCTCACCAGTACATCTATACTATATGAGACAGAGTAAAAAAGCTCAGTAAAGTTGGTAAATAAACTTTCTCAGTATTTTTCTGCTCTAGTTTACAGAAGCAATGCCTTGTCATGACACTAGGTGGCATAGCACTTCTGCTCAAATCACTGATAGCCAGTTATTTTTTCAACTCATTAGTTTGTGGTTTTGTTATTCAGTTAATTTACTTGTAATAAGTGTCAGGTTAAAAGCAAAAATATATCAGTATCATCTTTTACATGTATATTAATGAATAGTGAATATTATAGTAAATTTAGTACTTTCCTTTTTTTTTTTTTTGGAGACAGAGCCTTGCTCTGTTGCCAGGCGCCAGGCTGGAGTACAGTGGTGCAATCCCCTGCCTTCCAGGTTTAAGCAATTCTCCTGCCTCAGCATCCCGCGTAGCTGGGACTATAGGCGCGTGCCACCACGCCCAGCTAATTTTTGTATTTTTTAGTAGAGACGGGGTTTCACCGTGTTGGCCGGGATGGTCTCAATCTCTTGACCTGGTGATCCGCCCACCTCGGCCTCCCAAAGTGCTGGGATTACAGGCGTGAGCCACCGCGCCCAGCCAGTACTTTCAATTTCTTTGTCATCACTACTGAAAATCTCAAGACGAGCTTAGTGGTAACTAACTCCAGTTAAAAAGCAAAAGGTTCGCCTTGTTTGAGTGGTATACCATGTTATTTGGTTTGTAGAGCCAGTATTTTTGTGTGTACATGGTAATCTACTGATTAAAACTTTGATTTTTAAGTTCCTGGGGTGAGTTCTTGATCTGAATTGTATTTCATTACACTGCCTATATAAATCCATAGTGTTCTGTGAAGCACATGAGTAGCACCACCATGCTGTGTTTGAAGAGGAGTAAAGCTGAATAGTACTAATTGTTAATCTGCATCAGTAAATGCGATATTCTTATATGGTACAATTAGCAGAAGGGAATTGAAGGCTTAAGATTTTAAGTATATTTCCTTCAAGGAATTTATAATTTGATGTCAGTAGTTCCCCACATTTTTAATATGAAGGCCCCTTTCATTATCAAAATATTTTATAGATCTTGCTTGATGCCTATTGAACTTTTTGAGTATCTGTTGATGGAGCAAATAAGGTCAAAAGCTACAATTAATTAGTGATGTCCTCAAAATAAATTTGTATTTTATAAACCATAACATCTTTTACATGTTATTAATTCTGTATGGAGTTCTTAATACCACTAATTTGTTTAGGGAGATGGGAATTAGCAACTAGTCGGTGCTACCCTGTATTTTTTAACAATGTAGTTAGATTTTTAAAAAGAATAAAAGGGTCCACTTTTTCAGGTTTGACACCATTTTTATGAATTGGAAATTTTCTGTAATATTACATTATAACATTTTGGAAAGGTGTAAAACACATTGTTTTAATGTAAAACTCCTCTTTAATTTCCCTTCCTTCAGATTCTCCATAACATGGAGTAGGAAGATACTTGTTTTTCTGTTGCCATTAGAATGTTCAGGTTGTTCTAGGAATGGCAGGGGTTAGGGGAGTGCGGATTAGAACTTCCTAGAATAAAATTCCAAATAGAGGTTTGGGGAAACCTACTTGTGAGTGCATTTTAACCTCAAAATAAGGATTTGGAATGGGTGGAGAAGGAGATGGGGAGAAAGAAGTTGTTCGTGGAGGGGAGAAAAAGTTTGTTTGGAGGAGAGAAAGCCGATAGCCACTTAAATAATGTCCTGGTTAGATTGATACCTATTTTTTTGTAGAAAGAAAACAATATGCTCCATTCTTACAAAGCATTGATTGTATTTGAATATACTCAATGTCAATACTATTATGCAGGGGCATCCAAGGGGGAGAATACAGTCAATGACTTCTTAGTTTCTGTTTTTGGTTGGGCCAGTAAAGCCCCTTCCTCATCCCTCTTTTTTGCTGATCACTAGAGACAGAAACTAAAAACCGTGGCATCAGGCTGCTAAAAGCCCAAAACAAAATGGAGCAACAACAAATAAGGCAGGTTGGACAAACTTGCTGAGTATTTGGGAGCAACTTTTTCAAAACAAGTCTGATTTGGAAGAAGTAAAGTAACTTATTTTAAGCTACCTTAATATAGCACTAAAGAGTCACTTTGTGAATTCTGTAAGGCTGTAATTGAAAAAAAATTTGCTTACTTTTACTTGCATTTAAAAATCAGAACTCTAAAAGTTAATTCTTGGTTTTTCTTATGTTTTTTATTGGGAAGCTTTGAGGGAAACAATTGATGAGGGTAGGGTAATTTGGTATAAACTCAGTGAGATTTAATTTATAACATGTTGGGTTTTTTAAAATTACTGATTGAAACTCTTCCTTTTCTATTTAAAGATGATGAAAAAGATGAGCATACTTCTAAAAAGCGCAAAGTAGAGCCAGGAGAACCAGCAAAGAAGAAAAAGTAGAAAACAAATGACCAGAATTTCTGAACTGCTAAACTTACTGAAATGTTTCTTTGGGCAAATTAAGCTGGTATTGTGGGTTATTATCACGTTTCCATGAAAATACATACGTTAATGAACTAATAAGTATTGCCTCAAGAACGTTCCACTGTAGAACATTTTTTATTTAAAACATATATGTATTTAAAACTCAACTGGTGACTTGTGATTGTGAAATTGATACTTGGATGCATTCTTACTCTCACATAATTAGTGACATGCTTTGAGAGTTTTGTCACATGTTGACATGCCAATGTTCTATAAACCTTTTATAAAGGAAAATATTTTTAAAGTAAATATATTGTAATGTACTGTGAACTTGTAGGGTGCTTTTCAACAATCTTTGTACAGTGTAAATAGATCATGGAAATAAAATTACTTATTCAATATTACTATTACTGCATAACATTAACATTTGAATGTTTGTCTGTGACAAGTACCCTATTTGCTGTGTGACATTTTAAGTTGTAATAAGAGGTATTACCATTTAAAGAGTGCCTCCTGTGTTCCAGGTGCTTTGTGAATACGTTTTCTCTGATCCTTAAATAACCTAGCACGATATTATTAGTATTCTCATTTTATAATAAAGAATGCTTGAGTAGCTTGTCTAATGTTACATGGCTAGTGAGTGATTAATTTGGAATTTAACTTGGGACACATTAAACCACCTGCCCATCGGTCAAAATTTAGTCATCTTTCAAGAACATCAGTTGTCATCTCTTCCGGGTACTTTTCTGTTTTAGTTAATGGGGATCTTTTCCTCTTCTGATTGTATTATACTTGTCATCTGTGCTTTATGGTTATTCATTAATTTCTTTATTAAATGGTAAGTTTACGGGACATTCAGTTAAATTTAAATTTTGGATAAATAGTGTTTTGGTATATTTAATATTCAGGACATATTTATATAAAAAGTGTGTTTATCTGAAATTCACATTTATTTTCTCTGGTCTACATGTTTTCTCTACCCAGATTCTATTTTAATGCTTTGCATATAGTAATACTCAATAAAATGAACAAGAAGTAGTTGGGAAGATGTAATCTTTGAGTTCCAAAATGCAGTTCAGTTATTTGTAGTATTTTGAATAATAAAAAGGAGGTTACAGTGCATCAGTCCTTCCATGATTCTCAAGCCCTTAAGAGATAAGAATTAATTACAGAACACTGTACATTCAGTGTATGAGAACCAGACAGCCAAGCATGGTGGTTCATGCTTGTAATCCAGCACTTTGGGAGGCCGAGGTGGGAGGATAGCTTGAGGCCAAGAGTTTGCGACCAGCCTGGGCAACATGACAAGACTCCATCTCTACAAAAAAATTAAAATTTAGAAAAGAAAAAGACATAATCTGAGCTTTTTAAAAAAAAAAAAAAAAAAAATCTGTTTTTCCCTAATGTGAAAGACAAAATTTGAACAATTATGCAAGATTTGTTTGCTTAGGCATATGTATCAAGTAGATTAAAGTTTTTTTTTTTTGAGATGGAGTTTCGCTCTTGTTACCCAGGCTGGAGTGCAATGGCACGATCTCGGCTCACAGCAACCTCTGCCTCCTGGGTTCAGGTAATTCTCCTGCCTCAGCCTCCTGAGTAGCTGGGATTACAGGCACGCACCACCATGCCCAGCTACTTTTTTGTATTTTTAGTAGAAATGGGGTTTCACCATGGTGACCAAGATGGTCTCGATCTCTTGACCTTGTGATCCACCCGCCTCAGCCTCCCAAAGTGCTGGGATTACAGGCTTGAGCCACCGCACCCGGCAATTAAAATTTATAAGTCATTAAAAGTGATTGCACCAGCCATGGTGCTTTGTGGAATGAAGAAGATGCATTAACAGTATGATGGCTTCCCGCATATCTCGAGTTTAGAAAAACCAATTCTATAGCTCCCCATCCTCTAGGTTTGGAAATATACGGATCTCAAAATTAAAGTAATTGCTAAAGCAAGAATATGTTTTTTTAAGATTGAAGTCTGTGATGAATTTGGAAATCTATACTAGGGAGTGGCATCGAGTGATAAAGCAAGACCCTAGTATGACATGACACCAAACACAATACAACCAAATCAAGTTATATTTGTGAGGTGATTCCCAAGCTCTGGAGATATCTAAAACTTGGATGCATGTATTGGTAGAGCAGATAGCTCAGAAGTTGCTTAAATATTGCAAGGGTCTTAAGTTAGCATGAAAGCAAACTTTTTTCTCTCTTCCTTTCCCTTTCCCTCTCCTTCACTCTCCTTCTTTTTCTCTACCTCTCTCTCCCTCTCCCGCTCTTCTGAGAAATGTGCAGAGTACGTTTTATGAGGGGGAAGACAGGACTTAGGAAGGAAGAGGCTAAATATTTTGGAGCAAGTCTGACTCAGCCATTTGTATCTCCTGGTTGGAAAATGGACTTTGATATCACTCTACATCATCACATTAGAGAATGGATTATTTTCCCCTTCATAGATGTCCTGTGAACATGTTTGCACAAGTGTCTATGTGGGTACTGAGGTAAAGTTTGGTTGAGATAGTGAAAACCTAGTGGGGAAAAGTTTTAAAAGTCCATAGACATAAGAAAAATCCTCTGTTGAAGTATCTTTCTTTTGAGAGAATTGAGTCACTTGATAGTTCTGATTGTTTCCTTCTCTTTAAGAAAGTTAAGCCTGGGCAACATGAGGAAACCCTGATATGGTTTGGCTGTGCACCATCCAAATGTCATCTTGAATTGTAACTCCCACAGTTCCCACATGTGGTGGGAGGTGACTGAATTATGGGGGTGGGTCTTTCCTGTGTTGTTCTCATGATAGTGAATGAGTCATGAGATCTAATGGTTTTAAAAACCATCAGTGCAGAAAGTTGCCCTGCACAAGCTCTCTTTTGCCTGCTACCATCCACAAAATATGTGACTTGCTCCTCCTTGCATTCTGCCGTGATTGTGAGTCTTCTCCAGCCACGTGGAACTGTAAGGCCAATTCAACCTCTTTCTTTTGTAAATGCCCAGTTTGGGGAATGTCTTTATCAGCAGCATGAAAATGGACTAATACCCCATCTCTACAAAAAAAAAAAATTAGCCAAACATGGTGGTGCACACTAGTGGTCTGAGCTACTGGGGAAGGCTGAAACAGAAGGATCACTTGAGCCCAGGAGTTCAAGGCTGTAGTGAGCTATGATGCACCACTGTATCCTGGCACGGGTGACAGAGCAAAATACAGTCTCTAAAAAAGAGAAATAAACTACATTAGGTATGAATGACTTTTTGTACAAGGTAATTTGAGAAAGGAACTAAGCATATGTGGGCTGTTTTAAAATTTGAGGTATAAATAGCTTTATAGAGTTTTATGGGAAACATTCTAATTGGAATCAGAAAAATATTACTGACTCAACAGCTTTGGCCAAAAAAAATTACTAAGAAAACTGACAATCTGTTTTCATCATTAAAATACTAAGATCTGGACTCAGTTGCAAACTTGCAACTTTCTAATCTTAACATTTAATGCTGTCTCGTAGTGCTTTTGAATTCAAAAAGTTTAATCATATACTATTTTATTTGCCAAAAATCCAATTAGGTTTCATCATTTTCTTTTTTTTTTTTTTTTTTTGAGATGGAGTCTTGCTCTGTCACCAGGCGGGAGTACAGTGGCACAATCTCAGCTCACTGCAACCTCCACCTCCTGGGTTCAAGCGATTCTTCCGCCTCAGCCTCCCGAGTAGCTGGGACCACAGGCGTGTGCCACCACGCCCAGCTAATTTTTGTATTTTTAGTAGAGACTGGGTTTCACTATGTTGGCCAGGATGGTCTCCATCTCTTGACCTCTTGATCTGTCCACCTCGGCATCCCAAAGTGCTGAGATTACAGGTGTGAGCCACCTCGCCCGGCCAGTTTCATCATTTTCAAATTGGAGAATGGAAAATAGGCCCAGTGAGCTGATGCAATATACCCACGGATGCACAATGTGTTCGCTTCAAAGAAGAGAGGGATGGAGAAACTGGTAGTGCTTAGTTGGATATGATGGCCGAACATGAGGCTTTCTATGATTGCAAATTATGTTTTTTTAATTTAAAATGTAAATGGATTAATGCAGGTTTGAACATAATCTACATATAAAATATGTTACACAACTTAGGTGCAAAGCTCTACCAGAGACATTTGAAACATGTAAGTATTTTTACAGGTCTTTATGATCCAAATAAACTCAGCAACTCAATTTGATTAAGTCAAAAACTTAGTAATCTGAATTCATAACTGGACTTTAAAGCATATTATGAGTGGTATTTTGGATTTTTAGAATTTTTATCCATATTGAACTGCTTCCCTGTGTCACCCCTCCATTTGATAATAGTACAGAAATTCCACATATTCCTACAAAATGGTGTTAAAATTCCCAGCAAATGTTTTGGAATTTTCATTAAATTCTAACATTTTCTCTCTTCATCTTCCTCCACATAGATAGTTTCCCCAATTTTTTGAAGCATTGTGTTTCAATGAAAAGACAGTATGGGGAGATACCAAGAAGTACTTGTGGGTTTTGTCCACAGATGAGGGACTTTTTGCCTGTTTTGTTTGCCGACTAGAACAATGCCTGGCGCATAGTAGGCATTCAATATGACTGTTAAATGTAGGTGGGCTGAATTCCTCACCCCTGGCTTAGGGTTGATTCTCACTTGTCTTGATCTAATGCCATCCCCCCATCCAGTGGCTTGTGTTTTCAGTCATATGGGCCAATATGTCTTATTAACAATGTAAACCAGTTTGAATTAGGTTTTCTGTCATTTTCCACTAAAACCATCAATTGATGTAAAACTGATTCTTTGGTTTCTTCCAGGGCTCTATGCTATTCTGGTTCTATGTTCTCTGGCTCCTTCTTTTCCAGCTGCCCCTGATTGTCAGTGTCGTCTACATTGTTATTTTTCTCATTCTCCACCCTGGTTCTTGAAGATTTCAGCCAAGTTCATGGCTACCACACTAAGTAATACTTTGATGATCCCCTATACTGCATGGCTTGCCAGAGTGCTCTTATAAACTCTAGATTTGTGTATCCAATTGTACATCTCCACTTGGGTCTTAAAGGCCGCTCCATACTGTATGTCCAAACGCATTGTGTCAAAGGTCACACCATATACCATATTTTGTTTCTGATTGATGACATCACCATAAACCCAGAAATCTGCCCTACCTCACTTCCCATCACATAGGTTTGGTCAGTAAATCCTGTGGTTTCTACTCCCTCATTCCCATATGCCTCTTTTTTTCACTCTTTTTTTAAATCTTTGCTTTTGGATGGAGGCAGCATATGTCACATGCCTCTTAATCTAGCTCTAATGAATCATTTACAGTTCCCCAGATACACTATTTAGTTTTGTAGTTCTGTGCCTTCACTCACACCATTTGCTTGACCTGGCCCTTTTTTGACTACCTTGTGAATTCCATGTTTTCACCAAGAACCAATTGAAATATTCCCTCTTTAATGCACTTTATTTATCTCCATATCTACCTCTACATTCCTTTCCCTCATACTTGGCAATAAATGAATAGCCAACATTTATTGAATGTTTGCTATGTGCCAGGCATTTTTCTAGGTGCTTTACATGTATTGACTCATTTAGTTTGATGAGATAGATGCTATTACTAACCCTACTTTTCA